CCATTAGATACTTAACCTTTTTTTTCATTACAAACAAAAATTTGTTTACCATTTTTTTTTCTCTTCTTTTGCTTCCTTTTTTGATAGATCCTGATCATGATTGGAAGTAACAGTTTAATTCAACTATATCAACAGTTGAACGTGATTAGAATCATCTTGTGATGTTTTGCAGTTCCCAAATGGTCGGGTTAAATTTGTTAACGCGATTTTCACTTGATTCGGGGCTGGACACAAATAAATCAACGTAAATTAACCTTGATTCTTGGCGTAAAGTAATTTAAAAAATTACTATTTTCAACTCAATGGACAATTTTATACCCAGAAATTGATTGTGAAAAATGTTCATTATCATCTTCCATACAATCTACTGTTATATTGATTTTAATTGAACCATTATTCAACTTAAACATGACGCAAGTAAACATAATTTCATCACATAATTTTAGTTAACCCTTTTTGTGCTCATGTTTTATAACGTCTTATTTCTTAGGTCATCTCAACACCTCAAGTTCAAGCGAATTGAAAACTCAGTATAACTAATCGATGAACACGAAATTTTTGAACGATTCAGTTCAACAAAAAGAGTTGATTTAATGAGTGAAGATTTACCCATTAAAGTAAATTATGGATTGTAATACATTTAGCTTCCAAAATCTGGTAAGTCTCTCCATTTTTAATTTTTGATTTGAAATACATTTGCAACCGCTATAAAAGCGATAATTAAAAAAATGAAGCCATTAATTTATTATTAATCTCTATTAATTCAGGAACCAAGCAAATTGCCTTGTAACTTGTAGTCAATTAACAGGATTTCAATTAAAGCCCTCCACAACAGGATTTACTTTCACCTTTCACCCAAAAGTGTTTATGGTTTGCTAATATAAAACTTGAAATCACGATCTTAACACAGTAATCATTAGGATAATAATGATAATGATGGACCACGGAAACAATTGACCTTCCAAGGATGCATACCATAACCAGCCCAAATTGCAGGATCTACTTATTTGTGGTACCAACGGATCATTCATCAAGTTTCAAGTTTCAAAACTCTAATTACAGGTTATCATGAGTGTGTTAATCTGTGAATAGCTAAACTGACCATTATAATAATGAAAGAGACAACAATTTGCAATGAAGATGATCATGAACCTTTTGGCAGAAGGAGAAGAAGATTTAATTTTAAACAAGTTTCATTCATCTGCTAATCTTTTAATTGAATCTTTATCCCTTTATTAACCTTTACAAAAACACTGAGCAAATCCCATGATGATAATCTTACATTGTAAATTAAATTACAATTTTCACTATAATCAGGTTTAAATGATCATCAATTGCAAGTTGATTGCTTGATTTATAATTTCAATTTCAATTCATTATCCATCGTCTAAAACATTATCACTAATACCTGTAATCTCAACTCAATGTACTCAATGTATTAATATCAAACCTTCAACATGATATTAATAGATTAGCTTTTCGCACAAGTCTATTTTAGCTTAGCTAAAGGATTGTACCTTTTTTTATTAAGTGTTAATGGGCCAATGATGAGACAAAGTGTTATTTACCTACATTAATAATCATTAAAATTGCCCGATAATCAAGATGAATAACCATTTTTATTTCGCCTTGTCAAATACACTCTGAAGAGTCACCATTTTGTTTTGTTTTATTTTGATCGCATTTTTGCCATCATCATTTTGTTCATACTTAATCATCGCCAAATATGTATCAACTTCACCATTAATTTAATCATCATTTAGATGTCCAATTTAGCTGGAAAACGTTGAAAAGGTTGAAAAACAAAAAGCCCAAAATTAAACCTTTACCAAGACTTGCAATTTACATTTCAAGTTTTGTTGTTTTTTGCGTTTCCATGTTTTTTTGCTCTTAACTTACTGGTGATTATCATGATGGTGATGATAATGATTAACTTGAATTATAAATATTTCCATCTTAATAATAATTCATCATCTTGAAAGGTCTTGGACATAGATTCATCATAACTCATTGACTTAAATATTTTTTTGTTGTTTCTCCAGCTTTTCTGGCTTGTAAATCTGTCAACTGGAAGTCCTTTTTTGTGCCTTTTTATGTAAATACAAGAAAGGCTAATCACGATGATAAACATAATCATGACCATTACAATTATAATCAACTAATTGTAAATTTAAATGAAAGGGCAACTCTGACAATGATTAACAAGTTAAACCTTTCAATGGTTTTAACCTTTGAAAGCTTCACTCAACATTGTGATTTCAATCAATTGCGTGTCTATTAATTAGATTATTATCCGTTTGACCTTTCAATGATTTCATATCATGCAATTGAAATGGTCAACAATATCAATTTTAACCTAAAAGTATTGATCAAGTAAAAAAAGGTCAACCAAATGATTGATTTGACCTAAACACAGTACATTTGAAATAAGCTACAAAAAAAGGTTCAATTGTAAGCAAATTTTTCTCTTCATCTCTTTTTAAATTCATAATTTAATCGTATTAAATTGTTACCTTTTTTTATCCCTTTATAATCATCAAAAATGTTATAATTAGTTTGAACATGAAAGAGATGAAAATTTAATTTACTGATTAACACACAATTTTAAAACATTTCATATGCAAATTAAGGCTAAATTTAGAGCATAACAAATCCATGTTTACTTGATTCCCAGTGAAAACGGAACACAAGTTGAATCAATGAAAGTCAATGAAATTCAATCGATAATATTAATCTGTTTTCTTGCTGATAGGCCAAATCAGGCTTTCATGTCTTGAGTCCTTTGTGATTTAATGTAATGTTATAGCAAAAATGACAGTGACAATGTTAATGATGATGATTAAAGATGATGTTCAATTGATCTTCATTTTAAGACACTGACCTAATCAGTTTGGCTAACAAGTGATGATAATAGCCTTAACTAAAGCTTGTTCATCTTACATCTGTTTTGGGTTCAATTTTGATTTTCTTGTCCCATCAAACTTTCAGCTTTCCCGTTGTTTGTTATGGGACATTGTCAACACTTTGATACATAATAACATCAAGATTACTCTGTTAACATTGATAAACTGTCAACAAGATTCATTGAAAGTGAACATTATCTTTTTACAACAATAAATTACAAATTATCCAAAAATTGATCACAATAATAACATTTGCTAACAGCAAGAAAAGGATGAAAAGACAAAACAAAATCTGGTAAAAAACAAAACCCAAATTAACCAGACCTTACAAGCTTCTGTCAATATTCATTTACACCAATTGTTCAAAAAATATTCATAGCCATCTTCATCATAATCTGGTTAAGCCAAAGGTTACAATTATTTCAACCTAATGGAGTTGAGCTTGTTGCATCAAAAATGCTCATTTAAGGTTATTTTTACGTTGAAAGATTGTCATTATTGTCTAGGGGAAGGTTGGAAATAGTTTGACCTAATAGAGTTGATCTTGCTGCACTAAATTCAACGCTTACGTGGGGTAATTTTCACGCAATTTCATTCAATTTATTTCTTCATCAATCTCATCTTCAATAATAGGAATCCTCCTGGAAACCAAAAGATCTCAGCATGAAAATTATTCTCGGCTCTGTTCAATATTATTAAAATTTCCGTGAGAATCTTATTAATATTATTATGATGATAGTAATAATAATAATAATAATAATAATCAAAATGATGATGAAAAGCAATCAAATGAAGGAAGCTAAAAAAAGATGACTTTAGTCAAGTGACAATCCATTGATTACTCGTTTGGGTTTATTATTTTTGATCTTTCAACTTTGCATTTCCATTAAAATTACCTAGAGTGGGCTTGAGATGTACACTTAATTAATTAACCTTTAAGCAATCAATTCATATTTGTTTAACTGATTTGTTGAACCACAAAAACAACCAATTTTAAAACCTAATCTTGATTTGACCTGAAACCGGCAACTGTAATGTTTAACTTGAAAACAAATCAAATTTATCCTCATTTTCATTTAACTATTTGCTAAATCATACTTTACTCATCTTTATGCTTAATCATTAGTTTAATTTTCTTGATATAATCACTCATATAAACAGTTATTAATGTATATCATATTTAACCATTTAGGATTATCATTGTGATCAGTAAATATCTTGCATTTGGCATAAGCCGTAAGCAACTCTGATAATGAAAGTTTCAAGAAAAATGTAAATCTTTTTCTTCATTTCATCTTTTTTTTCATCATTTCACTTGACATTTCAATCATAATTTCAATTGACATTTATATATTAACTCAGTTTATCAGTATAATTACAAGCAATCAATGATCATCAAGTAAATCCATTGGAATGGATAAACTTGGTGAAAAGACAATTGAAAAAAGTGGAAAAGTCTTCAATGATTTATGTTCACCTTAATGCGTTGACTTGGTAAAGTCCACTTGAAATATTAATTAAAATTCATTCATCTCTTGAATTATCGTTCATCGCAATCAATTTAAACAAGTTAACGTTAACGTTAATGATAAATTTTTGTTAATTATTTTAACTAATACATTTTAACCTCACCTCTTTTGCTTGCTTTACTTTCCAAATGCAAGTCACTTTTACATTAATCACTTAAATCATCTTATAATCATTTATAACTTATTATTTGTTGTTTCATTATCATCTTCTTCATGATTGTTTCATCCTAATCTTCATCATCCACCTTCTCATCATCAACCAACAACATGAAATAGTATCATGTTTTGTAATTGAATGAAAATCATTTCGCTGGGTGAAACTTGAAAAAAAACAAGATGAAAAAATGCTCTAATCAAGTGTTTAATTCATTATGTTGATGGAGAAATGGTTAAATGCAAAAAAAACGTTGATTAAAATCCATAATTGTACAGGAAAATGATGTTCAGGTTGAAGAGGGTTTAAAGTTGAATCTAAAGCTTTTCATCAGTTTATTAAGCAATTTTAATGTTCCAGTAAACATGCAATGATCATGGCGTATAAAGCGGTTATAATAACTTGAGCAAAGCTCATTCTGAACCGTAAAGCCTCAAAATAGGAAAATGTAAAGTGAAAGTGAATCAGGTTCATTGTTCAGTCAACAATTGAAAATTTAGTGCTTTAAATGAGCTAAATCAGCCATAATCGGTGATAAAATGAATTTGATTCTTATAGACATTCCTATTTTATTTGGCTATTTCAGAAACTCTCATTTACCTTAATTGAAGAGTCGTAAAGATCGTCTTTTATAGCAAATTATTTGCACAGCTTTTCACTTCTAATAAAAGACTTACGTTTTATTACGCTCTTGGTAGAGACATCTATCGGGCAATTTTGTTTCTACTCAATTTTTAAATCTTGATTTGTTATTTTTTAAGTTTAATAACAAGATAAAACCAGAATTGTTTTAAATAGATTGTCGCCATCTAATGTTTCAAATACTCAATGCATGCAACTCAGAATTTGTTGATCATCTGAAACTATGTTTATTCATTGGTGATGATGAGAATGGTGATATTGATGTTAATGAAGATGGTGAGGATAATTTAGTTGATTTTGTTGAAGATGAGTAAGATGAAAATAAAGGTACAAATGAATTAGTTGATGTTGGACAGCGATGATTATTTAAACAATAATGTTGATTACGATAATCAATCAATTTAACTTTTACATTAACTACCTTCGATTAATTGTGATCTTTTGAATGGCTCCTGAACAATGAGTTGCTAATTGCTGAACTGGACTGAACATCTTTAACATCAGAAACCAGCAAGAAAAAATTGAGTGATAATGAAAATCGTTTGTAAATACCAAGACTTGATCCAATTAAAATCGGTTCATTTTCAATTTAAAGTCAATCTTGTTGACCAATGCGTGTTGCTAGTAAACTGTGTCATTGGTTAATTTAAACTGATTCTTGGCTTCTGAAAATGGAAATACAAATAGGAATAGTAAATGAAAAAAATTAAATGCTTTTCCAGATGGAGTTTTGATCATTTGGATAAAAATTAAACTGATTAAGTGTTGTCAGATTAACATTGATTTCAATCCCAAACAGCTATTCCGGTACATTAGTTCAGGTCGGTTAATTTTTCTTTCTTGTATTTTATTTAATCTTCTGTCTTTGATTATTTACAATCAAGTTTTTTCATTGACAATTGATTATTTGATGAAAGTGAAATTTTTATTTTTTACAGTTTAGTTTATTTTCGTAACACTAGAGATCAGTGTAACCGTTGTCGGTTATAAACCGGTTCTTATTTTCTGGTTAGGTTTACTATTTTCACTTTTCTATTCCGTAACGATGCCTATTCTTTTTTGCTTCATTATTTTTGTTTAATTGTAAGTTTGTTGATTTATTGATTGATTAGTATTGTAGAGGACAATTAAGTGAATCTTTTTATTATTTAGTTTTCTACCTTTCCTCTATATCATTCTTCCGTCTTGTCATCTGTTTACAGTTGTCTATTTGTCTATTGTATTGTAAAGTGTCAACATCACACATAGATATTTTACTTACACGCTCACAGAAACACACACAATCAACCAAATGGCTTTCTCTCCTCAGTGCTGGTTACTGACCATTGTTGTATTATTTGGTTTTTGTTTAGTTAATAATCAAGTCTCTTGTCGTAAAGGTAAACTTATTAAGCTGAATGAAGACAATTGGGATGGGTTGTTGACAGGTGAATGGATGGTTGAATTTTATGCTCCATGGTGTCCAGCTTGTCAGTCATTGGAACCTCATTGGGAATCTTTTTCATCTTGGAGTGATGAGCTCAATATTAAGGTGGGCAACATTGATGTTACTGCCAATCCCGGTTTAAGTGGTCGTTTCATGGTTACAGCTTTACCAACAATTTATCAGTAAGTTTTAATCGATCTTTTTGAATGGTTTGCACTGTCATATGTCTGTTTCTCTCTATGATACTGATTCTATTTTTCAAATTTTGGTCATTACAGTGTTAAAGATGGCCAGTTCCGTCAATACAAAGGATCCCGTGATACCAATTCTTTCGTGGAATTTGTTGAAGAGAAAAGATGGCAAACTTTAGAAACCATTTCCAATTGGAAGCATCCAAGCTCAATCCAGTAATTTAATTTCCCTAACTTTACATCTCTCTTTCAAATTTCCTGTTTTATCCATTCTGCAAGGTTTCAAATTAGAAAAAATGCTTAACTTATCTAATAGGAAACTCATATAGGAAATGTCTTTACATTGTTGGCGTGAGCAACATTTTCCACGCGTTTTTTAATTTTAGTGCGACATTTTCAGATTTTAGATTTGTCTTTTACACAATCTATCGTTTTCTATTGACTTTATCTACACTTTTTGGACTATTCTTTCTATTCTTTTTATACTTTTCCGCTGCATCATTCATTCGTTTTAACCATGAATTTTTTTTTCTAATGTTCAGGATGTCAATTGTTTCACATTTTTTCAAAATATCTATGGCCTTGAGAGCTGTCCATAACCGTCTTGTTCAAGACTATGGCATTCCTTATTGGGGATCATACGTTCTTTTTGCGTTAGCAACTATCCTTCTTGGAACGATATTAGGACTGGTAAGTTTATTATCATTTAAATGAAAGTCGAATATTCTTATGCGACGTGTCTTGTCAATACTGTTTTTTATCTATAGTTTGATCAATCGCTTGCAATGTAAATCCCTATTCTGTTTATTTTGTTGAATTTATCATCTTCTATATCTATCCACATCTCTTTTCATGCCAGCAAAACTTGTGGCAAATCATTTTAATTATCATTGTCATCACCTAAATTATATCCTTTGTTAACTGTTAAATACATGTATTTTACACGATTCAAACAAATCAAATATTTTATTTTAATTGATATCTATTATTTTCTTTCAGATTATTGTTTGCATCATTGATATCTTGTTTCCATTTAAACACCCACCCAGTGGCTCGGACTCGCCAAGAACTCGAACCCTTGGAGAAAAAGAAGATTTAATTGAGGACGTCCAAGACAATAATCTGTCCAATGATGAAAAAGAATTAAGAAGAAGGAAAAACGCACAACAGAAGGGCGACTCTGACGAAGTCGAATCGTCCACTAAAGAACCGGAAAGTGTAAAAGAGACCAAAGCTGAATGAAGTTAGGTCAGAATTATAGTTTTATCGATGATCTTTTGTCATAATATTTTTATTTAGAATAAAAATGTTTTTCGAAAGATGATTATGCCATTAAGTGCGCTCCATCAGACAAATAAATTCTCACAATGAGACTCATTTTCCCAATCCTGGATTTGTATTATGTAAAAAAGCTATGTATTGCAACAAACGCATAAAAACATAATCTTAAATTTTCCGATCATTCAAATTGAGCTATTTACCGAAATCAAATTAAATGTTTTTTTTCTAGCTAACATAAATTGCAGAAAAGTTTAAGATTTAAAAAGATGTAACTCATACACTAAATTGTCATTCCAATTACGCTGACATTGTGAGTTATCTTGTATGTTATTTTCAACTGGTCTCTCTATCGACAGTTTAAAATATTTTTTCAATTAATCACTCCTTCCTTTGAATCAATTTTACATCCGATAACCTAAATGTATGCGAAATTTATGATTACTCAGTAGTTGGACTTTTTCCTTGTTGTCATGACAGTTCAGGTTCCTTACCTTAGATTGATTAATTTTTCCAGGAAAAGCTCAATTGTTAACTCACCATAATCTTTATTTACTAAGAGTTTTGTTTACTCATTTTACGAAAGTTCATTACTGTAATACATATTCTCGAATATAATTTCTAGATGTCATTTCTCATCTTAAACAGAAAAATATATCTAAATCAATTATGGCTATTTTTAATTGTAAATAAGCTTCTAAAAATATACAATCCATAATATTAAATTATACTTCTATTCTAAACGTCAGAATAAGTGACCCCGAATAAAACTAATTTGATTCTTAAGATTATGAAAAGCTTAATTAAGCTGTTGTCGTTTCTTAATAAAGTACAATTTATTCGTCCGACATTGATGGTAACAGGTTTAACAAGCGCACTCCTGGCAAATTTTGAATCCTTTTTGGCATAGTAGCGGAGAAAAGAAGCGTTTGTCGTTGTCCTTTAAAGAACGAGAAAACCCAGAATCAATCATTCTGTCGGCTTCTGTCTTCTAGTGTTGGGTTTTGATCAATCGAAAATCGATTTAAATCGAGAATCGGCTACTCTATTTCAGATCGATCAAGAAAATGAAGAGATCGATTTAGTTCAGGATATTTTCTCGGTGCAAAAACTTGTTCCAAATTTGTTTTTTTAATAATTTGACAAATCACTCACTCAGAATCGGCAGTTTGGATCATTTAAGGCTAAATTTAACTAACAATGTGTTAGTCAATGATAGATTTAAGGACTCAAAGTGGGTTTGCGACGCTTCAGAAAATTGGCGCCAGATTTGAAAATCTTTTACCTGCAATGTTCAATAACAATCCTAAATCGAGAAATCGACTTTATCGATTTTAATCGATAAATCGATCTACTGAATTTTTCAGATCGGAAAAACCGATCAAGCTTAAATTGCTCGATCGGCCAACACTACTGTCTTCTCCATCAACCAAAATGTGATACCTTTTCATGAGCCGAGTTTTTCTCATCTTTTTGCAGTTAACAATCCGATGATCCAAGCGCTTCGGACTCGCGCTGGAGTAGGCTTCGTAAATTGTCACAGGATTCCGGATGTGGTGGACCCCGATTTTTGGATTAAGTTAGGTGCCGTAATTAGCAGATTAAAGCACGGTGGTCTGGATGCAGACGATAAACATTCCGATCCACAGCAAGGAATTTTGGTAGTTGGCGATTTCAATGCTGATATTACCCGAGATACGAATGGGAACGAACATGATAGGAGCCTATTAAAAGCCTACTAGGAGCCTACTAGCCAAAATTATTGAAATCTTCAAATTGAATACGGTGGATATGACACCAACGTATTTCAACTCAAATGGAACTCAATGCCGATATGATTATATCATGATAAGTCAAAACTTATCAATTTCAGACATTGAGGATACGACAGAGAATCGTGGTACCAGCGACCACGTACCTATCATGTGCCGACTCAAAATTAATAACTCAGCCTTGCAAAGGATGGGATCAAATTTGAGAAACTTAAAATGGGTTGCATTACTCGAACCATTCAGAAATTATTTTTATCAAAATTTTGTATAATAATTTTGTATTTCGATAAGCAAATTAAAGTTTTTTATTGATCATTACTTATATTCCCGGCTCAAAAGATTTACATACAGTAGAACCACTGGCAATGTACTCAACATCATCTATCCAATCAATATTTGTTGATTTGTGCTAAATTGGGGAGTTTTAGGAGGTTGAAAGTCGGACCAATTAATCTTAGTCGCGTCTAGTCTAGACAATGTAAACTTAAAAACATAATTTTTAATTTTCTTTTCAAATAAAAAGGCAAGTTTATAATGTTTAATATTTTTCTTTATTATTTACAGCTCTGCAGTATCAATAATTGAAAATTGAAATGATTTAAATTGAGCAAGACTTTGAGAGGATTTTAAAGGTCATAACAATAATTAGCAATTAATTCTAATTTTGCTGACTTTGTAGGATATAATTCGATTCTAAGAGTAATAAAAAATAGTTAAGCGATAATGATTAATAATTCAATAAATATCGATTTACTTTATTGTCAGAAATATTGTCAGTGATTTATTGTTGAATCCGAACTGGTTTTGTTCGGTATCTTTCCAAACTCCTGTGAGTCGATCAACCCTCTCAATGCGGCGTCTTGCTTTACAGGCCGGTGGTTTAACTTTTTTGGTTTTTGAATCTGTTGGATTCATGTGCCGCACAACTATCCATCTTTGCTTGGATTTGAATGGACAATAAGCACAGCGATAAATTCCTCGTTTTGATCGCCCTCTTTGTGATTGGGATTTTGCAGTTTTAAAGACAAATTGCTCAGTGACCATAAAATGGATTGTCTCACCTCCTTGATATCATTCTAATTAAACACATACACATTATTATACATTATTATTGATTATTATGGATAAGAACTTACCTCCGTATAGTGTACATCATCTATGCAGATACCACTGGCCAATAATGCTCCAAATTGACATGTAAACATACCGCAGTCAGTATTAACTTGCTGGAGGATCTCCGTCCAATTTTTCATACTCCATTCAGAACATGGATATAGATATGCCATCCAATCGTGGAACTGTAACAATACAGATGGATCATTCCTCTTTATTGAATCATAGTAGTTTATTGATTTTTCATCCATATTTATGCAAATTAATGCCCAATGGTTTGGTAGATGTATAGGAAAAAACAATAATTTAAAATTCACTATTGCCGGTTTTAATGCAAATGGACCGATTCTTTGTAGTTTTGTGTAAAAAAACGTAGAAAAACAATACAGGGTGACAATTCATAACCGAGACTTTTTTCGAGATAACGGCCGAACGGTACATGCAGTGGCCCTCATATTTTTTTCTGGGCATTAGGGCCTCAAAAGGCGATTTTTTGTATAAAGTCATCAGACAGCTACAAGTTGTTCTTTAAACTCATTTATTCAGATGATACATTCGATATTCAGAAAAATCGCCTTTTGAGGTTGAAATTACAATTTTTCTAAAAAATGATGTTTTCTATGTAAAATCCCATAGAAATTTCAAACTTTTCGAATTTCTGCAAAGTAGCCCAAACATTTACCTTTGAGGCCCTAATGCCCAGAAAAAAATATGAGGGCCACTGCATGTACCGTTCGGCCGTTATCGCGAAAAAAAGTCTCTCGGTTATGAATTGTCACCCTGTATATTTCCTCTGGTCTTGCAATACCTTCGCAATATTCTGTCTCTTTTAGCTTTAGACATTTCCTTGATATATCTGGAAGGCTTCCAGCCAGTCTTCATTGGAATCAGATCTGTATTTATGGCTTTCACTGGTTTGATGTTTTTTACTATATTTTTCGTAGAGATTTTTACGTCTTACTTTAACTGGAATGTAGGTATCCATTTCTTGATGATTTGCAATTCTCTTCTAGCTCAGCTTCCCGCCGCCTTCTTTTGATATCCTCTCTAATAATAACGTAATCCATGATAATTTAAAATATTCATTCACAAATAAAAATAACAAACGAAAAGGTAATGTTTATATTTTTCAATAAGCAATGACATTTGTATTTATCACATGTGATTACCATCGATAAGTTTGTTTCGATATCGATACATTGTTATGATAAATAAAATGAATTTAAGTTTTAGTTCAGTAAATTAGCAAAAAGTTATTATTCAGAGTCATGGAAATACAAGTCATTGTAAAAATTTTGGCCACAACTTTCATGTATAAAGGATGATGATCACGAACAATGTCTGTTTTCATAATATCAAGCTCACTTATTGAGCTTCTTTTATTCTTTGCCTAAAACTGATTTTACTCGAAAGATATGTTACTGATTACGGCTCTTGTGAAGTCAGTGGTACTGGCATAACCTCCCATATCTCGAGTCTTGGATTTACCACTATTAATAACCTTTTCAAGTGCATCAGTAAGTCTTCTTGCGTAACTGTGAAGATTTACATGCCACAGCATTTTAGTAGCACATAATATCATTGCAGTTGGGTTAGCGATATTTTTTCCGACAGCTTGACCAAAAGTGTGCCTTGCACCCTGAATAAGAATAACAAAGAAATGAAATTAGATATGAAATCGTAAAGAAAGGATTTTTATTCAAATTGCGGCAAACATAAAAAAATCTGTTCAATAAAATTCTGATCATCGTCAAATAATTGAATAATGTTATGATTAGAATTGAAAACTTGATGATTGGTTGAATGTTCTTCAAACTCTTGATTGATTTTAAAACTATGACAGTTAAACTTTAACTCTTGGAATATGAAAAACTATGAGAAAAAACCTATTTTCCAAGCTTTATATAATAATTGGAATGAAGATTAACTGTAGATAAATGGGATAAGTTTCCCAGCATGGTCTAATCTAATTCAGATTAATCTAATCTTTATTAATTCAGCCTAGCATTTTTCGATGGGGATTTACTGCAAATGAAGGGTAAACTTACGGGTTCATAGATGACACAATCAGAGCTGTAACTTGCTCCAGGAACAACTCCAGCACCTCCAACTAGACCTGAAGCTAAATTATCAATAATATTACCATAAAGATTGGGCATCACGAGGACATCAAATTTATGTGGATGTGAAACCAGCTGCATACAGGTATTGTCAATAATCATTGAATCAAATTTGATTGATGGATACAATTGAGCTGTTTCTTCACAACATTTAAGGAAAAGTCCATCAGATAATTTCATGATATTTGCTTTGTGTACGGCAGTGACCTTTTTACGGCCATGTTTTGTCGCATAGTCAAAAGCAAATTTGGCAATTCGTCGTGATTTCGCTTCAGTAATAATTTTCATACATTCAATGACACCGGGAACACTTTCGTGTTCTAATGCGCTGTATTCACCTTCAGTTTGCTCTCGAATGGTAATAAAGTCTAAATTTTTATGTCTTGTTGGGATTCCATTCAAACTTTTTACATGAACCACATTAGCAAAAAGATCCAATTGACGGCGAATCTTCATATTCAGCGATTGTAATTCACCAGATAAACTACTAAAAGGAGTAGATAAAATCCCTTTCAGAGCAATTTTATTCTTGTGGATAGAGTTGATAGCCTGTTCGAGAGGGACACTCATTGTTGGATTCACTTCACTAAATTGGGTGAAAAATCGATAAATTAGTTCAAGTCACTAAATTACTCATTTTTTTAAAATTTACCTTAAAAACATTTCCTCGAATACAACCGGAGTTTGCATGGCTGCAAGAACTTCTTTAACAGCTTGACACAATTCAGGACCTACACCATCTCCAGGAATTAGAGTACATTTTATATAATTTTCTTTCACATCTGCATTGTACACTGGACTGGTTGAATGGATTAAACGGCTAGTAAGTAATTTCTGCAAATAAAATAAGAATAAGCAAAAAATGATTGCAAATACATAATACAAAAAAGTAACACAAAAATGTAAACAATCAAATTGAAGGTAAAAAATAACATAAAACAAGATCCAACCTCTGCGCCTTTGCTGCTGTTGAGTAAAGCTGAAACGATTCTGGTCATTGAATTTGCCATTGTTGAAATATCACCTAAATTTGATAGCACAATAAACAAAAAGTATATAATATATCTAGAATTTAAAAGGAACAATTAAATCAAAAATTTGACTTAAAGCATAATAAGGGTAAGAGACAAAATAGCCGGTTACAGTAAAGCCTCTGAAAGGTTGTGAGAAACTGAACTCCCCCATCTAGCGGATTTGACGTTTAACCCCGCTTTTACAATGCAAGCACATGTTAAATATTTAAAGAGTTGCACAAACAATATCGCTTGGACAGCTCACAACCTTTAAGAGGATTTTACTTGCTGGTTACATTGAGAGGGAAATTTGAAAAGAAAGTGAAGAAAGTAAACAACAAATTTCTAAATACATGATACATTACCGTATTGACGCGTATCGTGGCACCGTGCTTATAAAAAAGTACGCCATCATATAAGCGCCTTTTGTGTTATCGAGTCTGCATCAAAAATATTTTATGTTTGGATTGAAATTTGCATGAATATTCAGTTATAAGGGAATTTTTCAAAAATTTTGCTGACTTGGATGCTTAAAATCATAAACTGGAACCGGCAATACGAAGGACTTTTCTTTTTTTAATTCTGTCTTATATTTGGATTGCGAAGGCGAAAAAGATTACTTGACCGATATTACATTATTAAAAACACTGATGAATCCAGGATGAAAATTTAATTCATAATCTAGGGTTAAATTTCTTGAAAATTCCCTTATAACTGGATCAATATGCTAAATTTATGATTACTCAGTAGTTGGACTTTTTCCTTGTCATGACAGTTCAGGTTCTTTACCTTAGATTGATTAATTTTTCCAATTAAAAGCTCAATTGTTACTCACCATAATCTTTATTATGAAAGATTATGAAAAGCTTAATGGAGCTGTTGTCGTTTCTTGATAAAGTACAATTTATTCGCGTTCTAAATAAATATTTTATGTACATTTGTTAGATTTTTATACAGACAATGAAAATTCGAATGTCGTGTTGAATATTTTACAATGAACTTTCGGATAATAAGCCAATATATACAATAAAAATCACCAATCAGCAGCGGAATTAGCAAGATAATCTTTTCCTTTAGCGATACTTGAAGCTTGTTTGTTTTGAGCGGCTTCAACTCTCGGACAGTTTTCACTAATATGACCAAGACCACCACAATGCATACAACCAGTTTCACTTTCTGCTTGAAGATATTTATCATCGGCAGATCTAAGAGCCATCAAGAATGGTGGTAATTGCTGTTTAGCTTCAATTAATAAAAGCTTCAATTCAAGAAGTATTGATTCATCAACATATTTGTTGACAAATGTAGAGGCAAACCCTTTTTTCCCACCACGACCGGTACGACCGATTCGATGAACATAATCTTCTATATTGTCAGGCATATCATAATTGATAACATGCTGGATATTTGCGAAATCTATACCTTTAGATGAGACATCAGTTGCTACGAGAACATCTGCTTTCTGATTCCTAAAACTTTCAACAGCTTGGATTCTTTCTTCTTGGCTTTTATCACCATGTATAGCTACTGCTTGTACTCCTTTAACAAATAATAATTCGTGAATTGCATCTACATCATACTTTTTGGAAGCGAAGATCAATACAGGTGGAGGTGTTTTCTGTAATGTTGACAAGATATGAGCCAGTTTGGCTTCTTCTTTTACATATTCTACATCTTGAGTTACTAAAGGATTAGCGGCACCAGCTCTTCCGACATTGATGGTAACAGGTTTAACAAGCGCACTCCGGGCAAAATTTTGAATCCTTTTTGGCATAGTAGCGGAGAAAAGAAGTGTTTGTCGTTGTCCTTTAAAGAACGAGAAAATGGTTCTCACGTCTTCTTCAAACCCAGAATCAATCATTCTGTCGGCTTCATCAAGACACAGATATCTACAAACTTCCAAATTGACTTTTTTCTCGTTCAACATTGCAATAAAACGACCTGGAGTTGCAACAACAATGTGAACACCATGACGAAGCATGTCAGCTTGATCTCTTATAGATACTCCTCCAATACATAGACATGATCTTAATCTTGGGTAACCATCAGCTTCTAAAGCTTCACAATAATATTTGATAATGTCACAGGTTTGCTTGGCCAATTCACGAGATGGACAGACAACCAATCCATAAGGACCTTCATTTTTGATGAAAGGTAACCGATATTCTTGTTCTAAAGCAAACATGATGAGGGGCAGGACAAATACAAGAGTTTTTCCTGATCCAGTCGATGCAATTCCAATCATATCTCTACCTGCAAGAACACTTGGTAATCCTTGTATTTGAATTGGTGATGGTTTTTTAATTCCCTTCTTTTTAAGTGCACTCAAAATACACCGAGGAAATTTCATTTCTCTGAATGTTTTGATAGGAGGACAAATGTCTTCTCCTTCAACCAAAATGTGATACCTTTGCAATATTCTGTCTCTTTTAGCTTTAGACATTTCCTTGATATATCTGGGAGGCTTCCAGCCAGTCTTGATTGGATCCGTATATATGATGCCTTTTGCTAATTCACCAACGCTCATCAAAGGCCTTTTATCTATAACAGCTTCTTGAATCTTTCTCTCTTCTTCAAGCTGCTTTTCCAAAGTTGCATTATCTTTCTTTTGTTCAGCCAGTTTCTTTAATTCTGCATGTTGATCCCACAAAGAGACATTATCTCGTGCTTTGATTTGATCGTCACTCTCGACATCTTGACTTGATTCTTGATCATTGGAATCAGATCTGTATTTATGGCTTTCACTGGTTTGATGACTTTTACTATATTTTTCATAGAGATTTTTACGTCTTACTTTAACTGGAATGTAGGTATCCATTTCTTCTTCCTCCGAAGATGATTTGCCATTCTCTTCTAGCTCAGCTTCCCGCCGTCTTCTTTTGATATCCTCTCTAATAATATCGTAATCCATGATAATTAAAAAATATTCACTCACAAATAAAAATAACAAACGAAAAGTTAATGTTTATATTTTTCAACAAGCAATGACATTTGTATTTATCACATGTGATTACCATCGATAAGTTTGTTTCGATATCGATACATTGTTATGATAAATAAAATGAATTTAAATTTTAATTCAGTAAATTAGCAAAAAGTTATTATTCAGAGTCATGGAAATACAAGTCATTGTAAAAATTTTGGCCACAACTTTCATGTATAAAGGATGATGATCACGAACAATGTCTGTTTTAATTGACCCTAGATGAAGTGAATTAACTGTTGCTCCGGAACCTCTGACTTGTTTCTAGAGTCTGTGAAAAGGTTGAGGTTAAATGGCTCTAATGTCAAATTGTTATGTTTTTGTAGATTGCAAATTGATGACATTAACATGCCTATGTTACATGGTTACTGCTATGATGCAGAAATTGTTGCGAAGGAAAATAAAAAGTAAAAAGGTCAATGGCATTTGAATGAACAAAATTAGAAATATCGATTGAAAAACAAGGAATATAATCATTATTGCTGGTTCAAAGAATCATGAATGAACCCTCAGACTCCCAAATCTTCCTTCCTGTTTCATTGTACAATCTTTTGGTTATTTCAATCAGTCTTGTATCTCTATACATTTAGTTACCTGTGATGGGTTCCACTTGTTCATTACCACCCATTGTCTTACCGTTTATTCATACATTTAGTGTACAAAAATCAAATCCATCAGAACCAACAGTTGAAACTATTGAGCGACTAATCACTCGCGACCGGCAATCGACAAAAAATGTCGGCTTAAATAAATTGAATGTTACTGATAAAAAATTTCTAGTTCCAAGTGATAATCACATGAAAGACAAACGACCAATTAAATCCTCTGGATCCAATGAATCGTCTAAAGTATATACATTCAAGGAATACAAACAATACTTGCAATCAAGAAGGGAATCAAAAACAATTTCAACTCCAGTAACATCAATAACTGAGAAAAAGGAAACCAACAATGAACGCTGTCGAACAGCAACAATCCGAAAGATAAACAAAGATGATAAAACAAACTCAACCTCAACCTCAACCTCCTCCTCTCCTTTATCATCATCTTCTTCATCCTCACCTCCTTTGACATTGTCAGTGATATCGTCTAATTCAATATCAAATCAAAGTGAATCCAAAAAGTCATCATCAGCAGTGATTAACAGCGTTAAAAAAGTAACATGGCAAAAAACTGACCGTAAGTCCAGTTTTTCTGACAAGGAAAGCTCAGATGATTCAGGAATAGGAGGTTTATCTACAACATTGGAACAAGCTTCTAAATCAAAAAGACGAATCAGACCAACTGCTGATACAAATCATAAGAAATGCAATTGGCCAACTGCTTGAAACATATCTATCCAAATATCTTGCAATGACACAAAAATTGTTCAGAATAAAGTCATTTTCTAGACTCAACATCGAGGTTAACTTATATTATTGTGACGATTAATAACTACAGATTTTCTGTATGAAGATTGAAATAGAAAAATTTGCTTGCAAGATAAATCAAATTAAAAGTTCATGTTTTGTATTATTAATTTGAAAATCATGATTAATTGAATTGTCCTAACTTACACTTGGCATAATAATGCGAACGGCTCAATAACGCTAAAAATTGTTCCTTCCACCTCTGCAGGTAACGCAAAGCATGTCATTTTAGCAGTTATAGTCGATCAGTTGAAACACGTCGTTGTATGTTTATTGAAACACCTAACATGAGTTTTAAGATCTATACAGATGTTTTCGAAGTTAAATAGACATTCTTTATATTTCATGTTACAAGTTACAAGTGGATAAATGGATATAACGGGCAAGGATTAAAGAGCAAAAAAACAAATTTTAAATTAAGGTGTTTTGGTTGCTGAAGGAACAGGCACAGATGAAGTGGTAGCAGAACCAGAAGTGGAAATTGCAGAAAAGGAACGTTTAGGATTACAAAAATGACAAGATCGAATTGGAATAGATTCTGATGAAGTTGCAGTTCATGGGGATGGAGCTGTAAATGATTCATCAGATGAGTCTTGAAGATATCGACCGAGTGTTGTCGATGAGGGAAGAGCGAAGAATTCTCTGAAAAGATTGAACGTTTTTGAGCTTTCGGCTGTAAGGCCATTGCATAGTTGTTTCAAATCAACTGTGTATCGCCTTTGCTGCGGCGATACATTTGTATTTTTGACGGCACATTCAAATAACGTAAAGGCTTCGGGAGTCACTAAAGGTTGGAGTAAATAAAGATGTCTAACAATGTGAGATACTGGTGGGTTGTTGCGAAGTTTCTTATATTCCCTCTCCAGGTAACCTAATTTTCTTTTAACGTCTGTTAATTCTTGGCTTTTAAGGTTGGCCTGAACTCCAGCTTCAGTTGATACAGATTCACTGGTAGAGAAAGTTGAAGTTGAACCATTGGCAGGTTCAGTTGGCATCTCAGGATCAACAAAAAACTCACTACCAAACTCAATCAATTTAGGCCGTGCGTTCTGCCATAGTCTCATATAGTTCCCATGTTTATAATACGACGACTCATCGAAATGTAAGGAACAGATGAAGAGGTTACCACAATGCCCATCGGTACAATGGTCAGGAAGTCCATCTCTTAATAAGCTGAACCAAGATGTAGCTAGCAATGGATCCTTGGGGAAAGCAAAGAAACCGACATTGGCATTTGGTTGCGCTGAGGAACACTTCTTTAGAGCACATTTGCGATTCACCACTAAAGACAGTAGAGAAAAAATAAACGAGATAAATAATATTATTCAATGTGTCTTGGAAAAATTAAAGTTTCATACTTTTGACTTAAATACGCTTGGACGAGCTACAGCAAAAAGCAAATCGTGAAGTGAGACGAAAATCTAAGAACAACGAGACAATGAGAAACATAGACCATTAGTTGAAAAAATCAAATTTACATAGCCGAAAAACTCACGAGTGCGAAAATACTCCCAGTCATAGGTCAGTTCCATAAATCTAATGTACAATAAAAATATAATGATGTAAATGATAAAATAATTGTAAAAAACCATAATAAATCGAAATAACAATTGGAAAATTATGATATAAAACTATATCAAAATAAAACAGTAAAACAAAACAGGTAAACAAATCAAGCAGCAATTCTAAAAAACTTAATCAAAAAAGAATCAACGAAACATAATAAATGAAAAATTTAACTTACCTTAACTTTGATCTTTAATTCTTTAATTCTTTGAGCCTAAAAAAGAGAGAAAAATGAATCAATTAATTGTATTTTCACATAAAATGCGTAAGTGTATTTGATGTACATACACATTTGTTTACTTTATGTTAAAATACAATTGTGTTTTCCTCTCTTTTTCCCCTTTCTTTTTTTCTCTTTCTCTTTCTCTCGCACTCTCATCAACGCCATCTCACCTTGCTCCTTTCACTCCTTATCTTCCTCATCGATAACTATCGAGCTAGCTAGATCGATAGCCGCGATCTCTCTTCTTTTACTCTTAGCCTAGTGCAAGTTAAATCTCCGCTAAACGTTACTAGGCTCCGATAACTACTACTTTTTAGTCCTGGTTGTGTACAACAATATGACTGTGGTTTATAATCAAGTTAATTTAATTCTCAGGATTGGAAATGAATCTTATTCATTACCCGGATTGATATCTATGAGTTTGTTAAAATTGAAGTATTGATTGGAAACATTAATCTTATTGCATTGTTATAATTTAATAGTTATCGCAATAGTCAAAACAAATAATTGTTAGTTACTTTTGGTTACTTGATTTGCTAAATATTGTAATATTTAGTTACATTACACATTGGTATTACATTATCAAGCTCACTTATCGAGCTTACTAAATGTAGCACAGAATAAGGTGGGAGATTAATTAATTTTCCAGGTATTGATACATTAATTTAATGACAGTCATTAAAAAGTGACACTTGTTTGCCATAACGAATTTTAAAATTAAAATTAAGCGCAGAAATGGAGATTCAAAAACTAGGATAAAAAGCTAAGCAAATTTAACATTGAATAAGATTACCTTCTTATTTGACTGTTTCATTTTCAATTCTTTGGTAACTCTCAGCTTTTTGAACCCTTTAAAGGGCGACAAAAAATTGGTACCATTAAATTGCCATTTTAATGGTTAAAAGTAGTAATCGTAGTTGAACGATTTCAACAAATTTAATAAAAAAAAACTAAATGCTCTTTTTGACCTAAAACTGATTTGACTAGAAAGGTATGTTACTGATTACGGCTCTTGTGAAGTCAGTGGTACTAGCATAACCTCCCATATCTCGAGTCTTGGATTTACCACTATTAATAACCTTTTCAAGTGCAATAGTAAGTCTTTTTGCGTAACTGTGAAGATTTACATGCCACAGCATTTTAGTAGCACATAATATCATTGCAGTTGGGTTAGCGATGTTTTTTCCGACAGCTTGACCAAAAGTGTGCCTTGCACCCTGAATAAGAATAACAAAGAAACGAAATTAGATATGAAATCATAAAGTCATCCAACGAAAACCAATGTGAATTAGATTCTTTTGAAATTTGTTTGAAGTGAAATGCTTATGCTTAATGTATTAAAGATCATTCATGCTGTAGAAGTTGTATTAAGTGAAGTCAAAAAGCGAAATCAATGTTCAAATCAACTTAATAATGTAATGATTAGAATTGTAAAATTTGATGATTGGTTGAATGTTCTACAAACTCTCGATTGATTTTAAAACAGTGACAGTTAAACTTTAACTCTTGGAATATGAAAAACTATGAGAAAAAACCTATTTTCCAAGCTGTATATAATAATTGGAATGAAGATTAACTGTAGATAAATGGGGTAAGTTTCCCAGCATGGTCTAATCTAATTCAGATTAATCTAATCTTTATTAATTCAGCCTAGCATTTTTCGATGGGGATTTACTGCAAATGAAGGGTAAACTTACAGGTTCATAGATGACACAATCAGAGCTGTAACTTGCTCCAGGAACAACTCCAGCACCTCCAACTAGACCTGAAGCTAAATTATCAATAATATTACCATAAAGATTGGGCATCACGAGGACATCAAATTTATGTGGGTGTGAAACCAGCTGCATACAGGTATTGTCAATAATCATTGAATCAAATTTGATTGATGGATACAATTGAGCTGTTTCTTCACAACATTTAAGGAAAAGTCCATCAGATAATTTCATGATATTTGCTTTGTGTACAGCAGTGACCTTTTTACGGCCATGTTTTGTCGCATAATCAAAAGCAAATTTGGCAATTCGTCGTGATTTATCTTCGGTAATAATTTTCATACATTCAATGACACCGGGAACACTTTCGTGCTCTAATGAGCTGTATTCACCTTCAGTTTGCTCTCGAATGGTAACAAAGTCTAAATTTTTATGTCTTGTTGGGATTCCATCCAAACTTTTTACATGAACCACATTAGCAAAAAGATCCAATTGGCGACGAATCTTCATATTCAGCGATTGTAATTCACCAGATGTACTACTAAAAGGAGTAGATAAAATCCCTTTCAGAGCAATTTTATTCTTGCGGATAGAGTCGATAGCCTGTTCGAGAGGGACACTCATTGTTGGATTTACTTCACTAAATTAGGTGAAAAATCGATAAATTAGTTCAAGTCACTAAATGATTAACTCTTTTAAAATTTACCTTAAAAACATTTCCTCGAATACAACCGGAGTTTGCATGGCTGCAAGAACTTCTTTAACAGCTTGACACAATTCAGGACCTACACCATCTCCAGGAATTAGAGTACATTTTATATAATTTTCTTTCACATCTGCATTGTACACTGGACTGGTTGAATGGATTAAACGGCTAGTAAGTAATTTCTGCAAATAAAATAAGAATAAGCAAATAATGATTGCAAATACATAATACAAAAAAGTAACTCAAAAATGTAAACAATCAAATTGAAGGTGAAAAATAACATAAAACAAGATCCAACCTCTGCGCCTTTGCTGCTGTTGAGTAAAGCTGAAACGATTCTGGTCATTGAATTTGCCATTGTTGAAATAAAATATTAATTAAATTTGATTGCACAATAAACAAAAAGTATATAATATATCTAGAATTTAAAAGGAACAATTAAATAAAAATTTGACTTAATGCATAACAAGGGTAAGGGAATTTTTACACAGGATTTTATCTCCTTGGATTCAATTCATTGTACTTGATCCTGGATGAACAGCTTCTGGCGGTAGTGAAATGAAACTGTTGGAGTCTAAATGTTGAGCATTTAAATCAAGTGTTTGATTGTCAGGCTTTTGACTTGTAGTATTTCGTTTTAATCATTCTACTTCGTTTATATGATAAAGTACTGATACTGAGTTGAAAGGGTTTAGGCAGCCCAAATACACTCACTGTGATATGGATAATTTAATGATAAATGTTGGCTCCTTGTGATCTCACTTCTTTGATCAATTTTCTGTTATAGTATTCTTATTTTGGTGAGTTTCTTCTTATCGTTTTTATCTTGCCTGATTCAAATTGAACTTCAAGTCATAAATTACTCAATTCTCATTTTTTCGTGTTTCTTTTTTACAGCATGTTAAGGTGTTAAAGCCTGGATTATATTCAATTGTTAATCAACCAATCAACTAATACCATTCTGCTGTAAACATTGGTGACTTAAATTTTTTCTTTTACTTTATCCAATCGAAACCATTGGGGTTTTAACGATATTTAGACCAAGCATAATCCATGACATTATGTCGAATAATAAGAGTAACTTGGTTACAGCTGTTGGTCAAAAATGGCTTGAAGTTCTCGAGAAAGAGTTTGACAAAGCATTCGTCGACCTGGACCTTATAGTAGGACAATTTGAAGATGAATCCAATGACCTCGTGTTTGAGGCCCGACAGCGAATGGCTAATATGTCCTCCGTCTTTGCTCAATTAGTTCACAAAACAGCTGTTGTATTTGAGAATAACAGCAAACTAGAAATGGACTACCACTCGCTTTGGCAACAATTAATCAAAACAGATAGTGAAAAAAGACTGCTGGAATGCAAGCTAGCTGATAAATCAGCACATTTAGCTGTTATTTCTGATACCTATCACAGTAAACGCAGATCAGGTGAGACAAGATCCGTGAGAGCGCCTTTATCTCTATCAAACCACAGCGATAAAGCAAAAGAGTCTTCAGATGAGGTGATTTTTCCCGCTATTCATGCCCAACAAGAGATTAAAGCCTTGCGAAAAGAGAATACCTCTCTTCGAAAATACTTATTGTGTATCGAAAGTGAACTATTTGGAGCTCGTTTAGCAGCAAAATATCTTGATAAAGAGCTGTCTGGACGGATACAACAAATACAATTGCTAGGTAAATCAGATTTGAAAGGACAAGAACAGGATAGAGTTTGGAATCAATTGGAGGCAGAAATTCATCTACATCGTCACAAAACTGTTGTTCGTCATTGCAGAGCCGCTAACAGTGATGCTCAATTGCGTTTTAACAATTCAAAAGTACCACCAGGACATGAATGGCCATTATTAAGGAAACGTAAAGGGATCGGTGATATACGAGATGTTGTTATAGAACGTGATATGAATGAAAGTTTAGGTATTTCCATTACCGGAGGAAAAGAACATGGAGTTCCTGTTTTAATCTCAGAGATTCATCCCAATACTCCAGCGTCACGTTGTGGTCAATTATATGTGGGTGATGCTATCTTTAACGTTAATGGTATTGATTTAAGATCTGTAAAGCATGAAGAAGCCGCTGAAATACTTTCAAATGAAAGAGGTAATTGCAGTTTACAGGTAGTTTTTGTCTCTCCGGACGAAGACGACGAAGAAGAAGAGGAAACAAAATATCCTTACTTTGACCCTGAGATTGTATCTAAAGTTGATCTAAATGATAGTTTCAATTCCAATAATGGAGATGGAGAAACAAGTGGAGTTGAACATGAATCTGGGGACAGTGATGGGGCCATTTCTTCTGTTACCGATACTTTTTCCCCGTCGCCTAGCAAATTTTATCCAGGCGTAGCTAAGCTATGCGTCGATGTTAAAGAGAATGGATTTGGCCATGGCGATCTTCCGAATGTTATTCAAAAGAAAGAAAATCCAAAATTTTCACAGCCTATTACGTCAACTTTTACCAACTCTAAAAAAGAAACACTCATTGAATAAGAAGCAACAAACTAATAAGTATTATTATTAATATTTATATTTTCAAAGAAAAATTAAAATGGATTTGTTATGATTTATTTACCCCCAACATTTTAATTAATATTCAAAAGCTAAATTTGATCGTTATATTAGTTTTCAAGATGAACATTGTAAATGGTTCACTGAGCTTCAGACACCTTTGTAAATGAAAAATCAGACTTAATCATTTTAACTTGTTTCGATTCACTTGTTTCATTTGAATCTCTACCAGACTTATAACATTTTATCTATATTTTTTCATTTCGAATTGAATAATTGAATCAAGGATAGTTGCATATTTAAGATAAAAGGTCAAAAAAAGTTAACGAAGTAAAAGTTTATTGTTAACAAACGGTGTTAAGCAACAAAATTATCAATAATAACAATGATAACAGAAATAATGACAGCTTTTATTGAATAGTTTATGATAAAACTAGTAACATTCTGTGAATTAAAGAAATTTATGATGAAAATTTAAGAAAAAATCTTTTCGAGGTAATTTTTTCCTTTCTCATCGTTAATTTTAATAGACAGTCCTTTCTTTTTGAATCAATGTTTAAGCCAATGTAAAGCCGGACGAATTTTCAATAGCTTGAAGTATCTTTGAACGCATTTTATCTTCTGAGGTATAAACTTCAGGTAGGTCAAGAATATTAAAGCAAGTGTGAGCCACAGGAAGATGCTCTTGTGATACTTTCATAGGTTGAATACCAATTCTGAGATATTTCATACCTTGAATGGGAACTCGATCGGATCCAGTTAAAAATAGAAGAAATTGTTTTCGTTGAGGATCTGTAAAGCTATGAAATACTTTCCAGAACATTATTATGGTTGGATGGAGTTTGTTAAAAGGCGCTTTATATGAAGCACTTTCTTCCAGTTCAGCCCAATCCTCAGCTTCTTGACCAGTAACCAATTCTAACAGCTCTTCGGCGTGAAAGAATTTCAAAATCTCATAATCAACGACTCGATGGAAACCTTTTTTGAAAGCGGAATATTGATGCTCAATACATTCTATAAGAATAAACTTCCAATATAGATCAACATAACTCTGACGATTATCCAAAGTTAATTTAACATTTTCACCATTCTCAATTAAATTGTAATCAACTGGCGATCCAAAAATTTCCAAAGAAATTGTAAAATTAAGATCTCCATAGATAGAATCAAATTCATCTGGAGTGTAACTAGGATTTAAAATTTCCCTCAGATTTCTAGTTAATGTGGCATCAATTGAACCTAAATCGTCAAGGCACAGATCTTCACCAAGCATCTTTTTGTACAATACTAAGGGAAAGGGTAAATTGATGATTGCTTGATTGTAAATAGCAAGGCCACAAATAATTCCAATCAGCTCATACACAAGATAATCTCGCTCTTTTGGATTAAACCAAATAGTGTTCGTATCTTTGTACTCGATGAACATTCCATACTTAGGATCAAGAATTTCTCTTAAAACGAGAAGAAAGAATTCCTTCTTCATGCCCATTCCAGCATCAATGGCATCTTCTCCTTCGAATTTAACTTTAAGAGGCTTTTTGAAATTAATGTTGGTTCCATTGGACAGAAATTGTGATATAGTATCACGGATAAGATTTTCACGGGAAACAGAAATGACCAAATGAGGATCTTCAGGACCAGTTGCCGATATAACGCTGGCAAAAACAAGATTGCGATATAAAGCATTTTCTGCTGCATTACGTTGTTGTAAAGATGAATCTGTTTCTAAGATTAATGATTTGGCTTTAGTATCAAAGATGAACGGATAATTGCAAAGGTACAGGTCAAGTTTACTATGAGATCGTTGAGCTCGGCATAGCCAATAAATATAATCTCTAGAAATATCGACCAGATCACTTATTTCGGTAATATAAAACTCTTTATAAGACAAGGTTCCACTTTTTTGGCTAACTTTAAAATGAAGTTGTATATATTCCAAACAGATGGTTAAATATTCTTGAATATTTGGATCAATTCGAAATCTTGGTCGAGTATCACGTCTCTGTGGATTACTATTTTCAAAGGGATGATCCAATGGATCATAAGTATAAACTCGCTCATTGTTGGGACTTTCTTCTAGAGAGTGTTTAGTAACTTGTTCACTGAGCAATTTGACGATGAGTTTCTTATAAATTCTGACTAAGCGGCGTGATAAAAAGGCGTTATATTCATCTTTAAACCAATTTTCCAACACAGATAAACCCGTATTAGATGATATAAGACGTAGAGATGATTTGGCATAACCAATAATAAGTCGGTCCAAAAGTTCACGAGAAAGAATTTCTGAACTGAAAAAGTGCATCATGGGAAGAATAAGGTAGATTCGGGCGATTTCTGAGTCAATTTTATCATCCAAATTGGTTGGAAGTTGAGGCAAAATGTTGTTTTCAATGATTTCAAATATAACTTCATTGTAACGATTATCTTTTATCTGTTCCAAAAATTGAAATCCTTGGCGCAATGAATTCCAATCTATTGACGGTAATGGTTTACTCCTATCAACATAACTTGCATTCCAACAGGGTATAGAACCAAAAGTCAATTCAATATAATCTAAATGTTCTATAGGTATGGGCGCTAATGCTGGTGTATATGTGAAAGCTTCCAACATTGAATTGTCAAATTTACTAATTATTGTCTTTTTATTCCAAAAATTGTAAATAATGGGCTCAGATGTGAGTCCAACAATGATGAAACTGTGATCACCTAGACTAGTTGCAATTTGATAATTTTGTTCGTATTTTAGAGCTTTATTTTCCTCTTCAAACTCCATATCAACATCTGAGTTCTTTAAGCTTCTTGAAGTGACGATCTTTTCTGATGTGATGGCAGATTTGGTAATTTTATCATTTACTCGGATCGTATCTATTTTGGATAAACTGACTGGAATCAATTTGTTCTCGTTGTGGGAAAGACCAAGTTGACCACAACCATTTAAGCCACAAGCGTAAATTTTATCAGAGTTGACAAGAAGCAACATATGGCATCGTCCACACGCCACTTGGGTGACTTTGTTTCCAATCATTTCTAAGATTCTTTTAGGAAAAAGTTCATTCCCTTTTACACCATGTCCAGTTTGGCCATACATTCCAGCTCCCCATGTAAATATTCCTCCATCCTCAGTTAATGCAGCTGTAAAATCTTCACCACCTGAGACAAAGGAAATTTTTTGATTACGCAGATGAGTCAGGCAGGTTGGAGTAGATCGATGTTCATTATCTCCGACACCAAGTTGACCGAACTCATTTTTACCCCACCCATACAAAGCACCAGTACACGAAAGACCAAATGAGTGATAACTACCAGAACTTATTGAAAAGATGGGTGATGCTTGAAGAGAGGTAATCAGATGAGGTTTGTTTGCAGAAGGGTTTTTATATCCAAGGCCTAACTGACCTAGATTATTTGCTCCCCATGAGTAAATTTCTCCATTTTTTGTTAAGGCTAGCGAATGATGAGCTCCAGAACATATCTGAATAACGCATTGGTGGGCTATAAGTAGAACAGCAAAAAATTAGTAAAAATAGCTTATAAAAAAAGATTGGTTCATACCTAATATTTTAATTAGAGAAGGTTTTCCTATCGATTCAAAATCTTTGGCAAGTCCAAGTTGACCAAACTGATTACAACCCCAAGAGAAAATTTGTCCAGCATCAGTCAAAATGGAGTTATGGAAATATCCACAAGAAACTTGGTTAACAAAATGAGAACCGAAATTTTGGACAGCTAATAATTTAGACCAACTTCCTTCTCGACCCAACTGTTGTCTTTCATTGGAACCACAGGACAATAATATACTTTTACTTTTCTCTTCATCGTGCAGTAAGATTATGATATGATTACGTCCACCAGTAACTTGTTCAACTTTAAATTTAAACAAATCTTCTGACAGTAAACCATGGTCATTAACGGTGTCACAGCTAGTCTCAGACGAGCAGTTAACCGTTTCACCAAAGGCAGCTTTCAGATGCTTATTTAAATCAATCTGTGTAGGAGTAGATATGAAAGGCTGCTCTATAGCACCAAGAGCAAGTTCATGGAAAGAAGTTGACCCAAATGAAAATACACTCATGGCTTCATATCAATTGGATAAAAAACAGATAGTAACATCAAGCAGTGATCAATCAAGACAATTGAAGGAAGAAATAAACACAACAGACGATATGGTATTTAAAAAGCAGCAAGTATCTAGTATCTCGAGTTCTTTAGCTACACTAAATTACTGATGGATTTGAATGAGATAGTGAATTTGGAATAGTTGATTATTGGAAAGGATTGATCGAAAACGCATTAGCTATAAGATAACAATTACAGTCAATTCAACATGAATCAGCTAACTAAACAATTCAAACAACAAGCTAAAGATAATTTACAGATACACAGATACAGATAATGAGTATCCAAAATCCAGATACTCTTCTTCTTCTGCTAGTAAGTCACTTTTGCTGAATGCACTTCTCGTTTGATTATGGGCCTGACTACAACACTTTATTAGTGCTCGATTCCTATCACAATTCCGGGATTCCAGTTTCTCCAATTTAATTATATTTCTTTGTTCATCACCAGTGAAGTAATTTGTGAGGGTTTTAACCATTTTTCAGGTAAACTCGTTGTTCTTGATCCTATGTACATTTTTTTTGTTGCTCATAAGAAATAGCATTTTCTGTATTTTAAATGCCCACCACTTGTCTTCGTTTCCATTGTTTGTGCTGACCTTTGTGTACTAATTTGGTCACGCGGTCAGCTCGATTTTTCATCTTCTTTGTGTTCATTTTTGAACATCTATATGTTAGTCAGCTCTTTTTGCCTTTGTTTTTCAGCTCTGCTATTTAAATCTCCTTCTATCGCTTTTATAGATTCTATTATGAAATCATTAGTCAATGTGCTGATGTTTAAATCTACTATCTTACTAATTGCCTTTACACCTGAATGAATAGGCTTAGTTACTCTAAATCACCTTGCTCCCTAATATCTGTTTTTGACTAATTTGACTATCCCTGAGTTTCTTTGCTAGATAATATTACTCCTATCATTTTCTGATTTTGTACTTTTCTTTCCTCTCAAATCATCTCTTGCTTCTAGATTCGGGTTTTTACGAAACCATTTTAAAAACACTTTATAATGCCTGACTCAAAACTGTATGACTTACTAGGAGTACCTAGATCAGCTTCAGAACACGATATTAAAAAGGTATGGATTATTGGGTACACAACTCCTTGCAGTTTCTTTTCTAATCATCCTTATTATCCATTACAGGCCTATCGTAAATTAGCTAAAGAATTTCATCCTGACAAAAATAATAAATCAGAGGATAAGGTAAGTCTTTTTTTAAATTTTTAATTTCCCTCACTTTTCTCACTCAATTTTCTTTGTCAATTCTCGGTTCCAGTTCAAAGATATTTCTTATGCATATGATGTGCTAAGTAATCCAAATAAGAAAAACGTCTACGATAAATATGGGATGAAAGGTCTCCAAGAGGGTGTATCTGATGGACCTGATATAGCTGATGATTTTATTTCCCAAATTTTCGGAGACAATTTATTTAATTTTGGCAGTATGCACCGTAGACGCGCAAAAGGCCAAGATTTTATTCATCCTTTGGAGTAAGATTGATCTCTTAAATTTTTATGCGTATTTTATATTAATAAATCTTATTTCCATTCTCTTAGTGTAACACTGGAAGACCTTTACAATGGAAAAGTTACGAAGTTAACGTTGAACAAAGAAATTGTTTGTCGCACATGTCTCGGGTAAATATTTATTCCTTATTTTGTCGTTACCTTAAAAAGATCTCCATTTTATTATATTTCTAATTCATTTTTCCATTTTAAAATTAAAGCCTCGGTGCTAAACCTGGAACGTTGCAGCCTTGTGCATCATGCAATGGATTTGGAGCTAAAATATCTTATTTAGAAGTAGGACCTGGCATGATGCAGCAGATTCAGCGCCCTTGTTTAGATTGTAAAGGAGAGGGAAGAGTTTGTAATGAGGTTCATCGTTGTAAAACATGTGAAGGAAGGCGCATTACAATGGAATCAAAAGTTGTTGAAGTCAACATTGACATGGGGATGCGACATGGACAGAAGATTGTTTTTCGTGGAGAAGGAAATGAGAAACCCGGAATTGAACCAGGAGATATCATTGTTCAACTTAATGCTAAACCTCACGAAATTTTCACTGTTAGCGGTAATGATTTAGTCATGTCCATTGACTTAACTTTAACCCAGGCTCTGTGTGGCTTTGCCATCCCAGTCAAACAATTAGATGGGCGACAACTCATTATTCGTAGCAAACCCGGAGAAGTCATTGTTCCTGGAACAGTTAAGGCTGTTAAAGGAGAAGGCATGCCTGTTCATAGGGACCCGTTTGCAAAAGGTGATTTAATCATCAAATTCCAGATAATCTTTCCAGAATCTTATTTTGCTCCTAAAGATGAACAATATTCAAATATTGAAAAAATCTTAAAAAGAGACGTTCAAGAAATTTTCGATTTAAAAGCTGCAGATGTTGAAGAAGTTGGTCTGCACGAATATATTCCTTCAGAGTCTAATGGATATTCCAGTCGTGAAGTGTATGAAGATGATCACGACGAAGGTGGTGGTGGAGGTGGGGTTCAATGTGCAGCTCATTAAAAATGGTGCAATGTTCCTCAGGATTGCAAGCTATTGTATTAGCAAAGTGCATACACCCTTCATCATTTTAGGTTACACTATTGAATTATAATTGTCAAGAGAGCAATCTCTTATCTCATTTTTTTGAGATCTTCTTTATCTTCTTGTTTACCCTTGCCCTTTCTTCTCTCACTTTCTCACTACTTCTGCTTTATTTTTTTCACCATCAAACCTAAACGAAAAACTCGATTAGCGAAAAAATGTAAACTTAATGGTTCGTAATGTGTTGATGGAAGCATGTGTTTCCATTTCTGAATCAAGCTATACATTAGTTTAAAAAATTTGAAAAGATTTCATTACATTCGTTCCAAGCGATTCAAATTTTATCTGCTCTCTACAGCTCTTTACAGAATTCAGTATCCAGTACAAATACCACCCTCTTTTCAATTATGTAAGGTTAACTAGCAGTTGGAACTGTATCATTTTTGTATAGTCTCTTACTTATTCTGTTATTCTAACCTGATATGGCTCAAGGCTGTACGAATTGATTTGAAATAAAATGTGTTGATCGAGTTTTAATCTCACCAACTTTACTATTTTCTTAATACATGTTGATGCATGTGGTATCTTCAGTGACATCTCATCTTCAGCGTTTCCTCTTGGATGGCTTCGAAATAGCAATTTCATGTTCAAATAGCACCGAATTTTTCGCATAAAAAATGAATTTAAACCTTACAAAATTTCTTAATTTTATTCACAAAATCGAGCAGTCAAAAATAGAGAAGTTTTCTCGGCCAACTGACCACTTTAGTGTAGACGATTGTAGCTTGGTTTTCCAGCAAATCAAGACTTCAAAGACTATTCAAGTTTACCGTGAAATAAATGTGATTAATCAGTAAACAATTATGGGCATTTTAATTGATGATTGTCACTTAAAAAAATAATTTAAACTAGTATGAACGATACTCGTTGGACAAGTACTTTAACAATTATAATACTAACGAAATTTTAAGGTTTGAGTCGATCTCATGCAACAATATAAAAGACATGTTTTCAAATTTTTAAAATAAACTGACTGATGGTTTCTGAGATTTCATGTGCACCACTCTTTATTTGTAGCACATTTACCTTTGAACCAGTCTGCTTGGATTTGATTTATTGTATCAGTTGGATTGACTGAGTTATTTTTCGTTGATGGAATTAATCTTTTAGAGTTCCATTTTGAACTATGCTCCAAATAAGCATCTTTGAGATTCAATTTGAGACTATCTGATAAACACATGTAACACGTTCGACAAACCTCAGAACGACATGACATGAAGCACTCTTCCGATGTGCACAACTCTTCATTAACAGCTAGATCTTTATCAGAGACTCGAAGATTCCAGGCATCAGCTTCATATTGGGGCCAATCCTTGAGTCCATCTAATCGCGTTAGTCCCACCAGAGAGAATAAATTGTATATAACTTGCTCATAAAGTAATTTGTTTGGAGCAAAATGAGCTGATGATAAATTGGGAGACATGTTAGCTTCCATGAGATAAACATTGAGATCTTCATCCACTAAAAAGTCAAATCGAACCATCTCGAAAAAGTTTCTAAATTAAAGAGAAATAATAAACAGTTAAAAATTCACAGTCTTGGGAAATAAAAGCCAATATAAACAAAGTAAATTACCGATTTGATTTGGGAAAAGTCATCGAAGAAAGCCTTGCCATTGATGCATCTTTCTCTTTGTAAACATTCGTAATTGCTTCTTCAATTCGGTTCCACATCATTTCAGGGTCTTTACCAATTGACTTGAGATAGATATTTAAAGTTTGCTTCATGTTGTAATTCAGTTCGGTAAAATATTTGCTCAAACTTGGCATCTTTTGATTAAACGAAAATTGATATCATTTCATTAGATATAATACTGTACTATCAATATTTTTCCATACCATTAATAGTCAATAAAAGCGAGACAATAATGAACAACTTACCTCCCAAATCGGTGTATAATCATCTCCAACAACATAAGACTGAAAATCACTGGCATTGAATGGATGGTATTTGTTTCCACACCACCGGAGGAGAGCATCTTTATCATAAATGTAAACTCTGAGAGGATTGATGGAAGTTTGAATGACATACAAACCAATATCAAATTTTCTGAAACACACAAAATAATTGTAAACAAGTTGTATTAATAATTACTCAAAACATGATAGAAAAAAGATTTTTCTCTGCTACATGTTAAAATTAGATAAAGTAATGAAAATTCAAATCTATTGTACATGTTCACTTACTTTCCGTCAATAAGAAGAGGATTTTGAATATATTCTTGTACAAAGTGTCCACTGTCATCTAAATTAATTTCGTCAATCTTTTCAATCCGGATTCCTCGATGATTGTTACTCTTCTTGACCCAAAGACGATCAGGATTATTTTTAGCCTGTTTAAATTATTATAAGAACAAAAAGAGTTAACGAAGCAAGTTATCAAGCATAATAATCAACTAACAGGTTGTGTGTTCTTTTGTTGCTTAAGTGGTTTCGAAGATTCACTTTTAAATTGAATGCATTTTAACCTCGACTGAGAGTACAATTAAGTTCAATTCAGTCAAGCAAATGAAAGAATAAACAATTCACTCAAATCACCAAAATATATTAAAATATAAAGACTTCATTGATACAATTGGAGGGAAAAGCAAGTGATCTTTAAAAAGGGTGAAAACTTACATATTCAACAAACTTGTCCTTTTCTTTAGGTAAATGGAAAGCTTTCGGTATATGATCCATAGATGTTGTTGCAAGACTAACCTTATTAGTAATATAACCAGAACCAGGAAAATGGTTAACCTAAAAAAAGATTGAAAGATTAAAACAGATGAAATCATAGATCATAGTTGAAACAAAGCAAGGCTAAAATCTGTAGCTGTAAGTTACAAATGTTTGTACCAAGGCTTTTTTCAAATCGATATTGCTTGAGTTTAACTCAATTTTTCATCAACATAATTGACTAAATTAGCTTTTTGATTGGATTTAAAATTACCTTTTGGTGTGGCCGGAGTGAAGTGAAAAATTCTTTACCAAATGGGTAATCATGAGACCACAAAACATCCCATTCTTGATTGAACCCATCTACTCGTTGATAACCAATTCGGTCGAATGATTCAATAACGTGGCGAAGATAGCCAGACTCCATCTATCACGGTCAATATAGATTTATTTGTTTAATTTAAAACAATAATAATAATAATAGGATAAAATATATTTACATTTCTTCCAATTATCCAGACTCTTGGCTTGTCACTGGTCAATAATGCTTGACGAACTTGGGTTGAGTTTTTATCAATCAAAGCTGCTTCCTCGTCAGTCAGGATTGAATCCAATTTGGAAATGTCTATGGATCCATCAGAATTCATTTTATACACCGTTCCCAAATTAAAGGCAGTTAAAATTAAAACAACTGACAATAGACTAGTGATCAAATTTAAGCGAGACTTTATGTAGGAATCCAATTTACTGTTAGCAGATGACCTGACTTGTTTTGAATCTCGGTCAATCCCACCACTTTGTTTTTGGGTAGACTCTCCATCTGATTTCTGGAAACCCGAGTTGGTGAATAGATTTTCACCGGAATTAGTCAATCGTTGATTATTGCTTTTGAAAAATTAATCTTTAGGAAAATATTTCTTACCTTGTTTGTTTCCTTACGTTGCCGTATCATTTTAAACAGACAAAAAATTTCAACTACTAACACAGAGTTATTAGGGCAAAGTTGCTTTCAAAACAAAAATGGTGTTGACCCAAGAAAAGTAGATGGAAACAGCAATATGATGCTGATGATGGTTATTTAGTGAATCGTGTGAAGGTAAAAAAAGATGATAAGATGTAGCTCCATTCAAATCGCCATCCTCATGAAACTTGATTTTCAACTTTTAGAGAGTCAGATAATCTTCGCTGCTCTGCACATTAACATTTGAATTTTCTTAAATTAGATTAGTATTTCATGCGATTATAGGTGTTTCCGATGAAAAATTTATTGAGATTGAATCCGATTCATTGTCAATAAATTGTGACGTTTTGTGACGTCACTATGGATTTTTCCGGTGAAATGCTGTTGGTAATAATAATGATGATGATGAGACATGCAAAGGCATTTTATCATTTGACTTCTTTTCACTTCAATAATTCTTGAATCAATTGATTATCCATAAACACTCTTTATTTACACTTTCTGTATAGCTAACGAATTACATGTTATTTAAAATAATTTCAAATGCCTTTTGTAATTTAAAACAGAACCCAAAAATTCAGTGGATTTAAGAAAATCAATTTCTAAAGAAATCGAGCAATTTAATTCTTAAAAGCATAATTCAAATCATTCAATCTATATCTTTAGAATGCTTCAATTATAGCAAATAAACGATAATTTAGTTCATTTTGAAACATAACATTGATGTTAATTGTTTACGAAAAGTTTCTTGATTTACTTTAAGTTTAAAGTAGTTTTAAATTTAATTGATTCTAAAACCGTATTTTCGTTTATAATCCATAAAAAAGTAAAAATTATTTCATAATTTATAATTCCGATTTGCTTTGATTCAAATTAATGGTGGTCAGAGTTGAGGTTTCACTTTTCGGCTGTTGAACACTTGGTGGTACTGATGTAATAGGCGAACTAGTAAAATTAATAAAATTACTGGAGCTAGTTGAAGTTGATTGACTTGATGGATTGCTGTTGGATACAAAAGCTGAATTATAGTACGATTCAGTAGTCTCAGGCGTCGGGAAATTAATGGTCGAATTTTTCATTGGTAAAGGAAACATTGAGGTCTGTTGAGGCAATTTGACAGTTTGGTCAGACTGTATGTAACTTGCGGCCAAGTTACCCAATGAGCTCGATGATGCATTATGCAGAGAAGCGTAAGTCATTGTAGGGTGAGTTATTGGACTCGATAAGGATGTTGAAATAGGTGATTTAGATTCAGCTATAGAAGAAGTTAGAGACATGTTCATAAAATCAGTTGTCGGTGGGTTATGTTGTGATTGAAGTCCACCAAAATTAATATTCGGATTGGTAAGTTTTAGATCAAATGGTAAAGGAGCACTAACTGTTAGTGGTGGCATTCCTGAAATAAATAAAAGTAGAAATTAATATGCGGATTCAATATAAAAATTGAAAAAAATGATAAAAGAAATATTAATTAAAGAACTTACCAGGAAGGGAAATAGGAGTTGTGATTGCACCAGGTGATGTATAAGATGAAACAGTACTAGATGTTACATTTTGAGGCTCAATGCCGTGAAGTGCATTATAAGGGTAGCTAATATTTGAAGTTGTTATCAATGGAGCAGACGAGAATGATGTAGGAGTATTTATACTACTTGTGATGGTCATCGAGGTGGCTACTGATGATGGTGTAGCTGATTTCGCATCAAATTCTTTCGCAGTGTCTTGAGGATGATTTGAGTCAGCTTGAGAAGACATTTGATTGAGTTGTTGTTGCATTACACTTGCTTGGTCTATTTTAGGCTCTGGTTCGACTGGACTTTGTTGACTACCTTGCAATAATGGTGCTTTTTCAGAATAATCTTGATCATTTGCAGGCTGATAAGGTATTCGATGTAAATATCCATAGCCAATCCCACATCCAAGCAGTCCTTCGCCTCCCCAACGGCTGTTTGGAGTGATTATAACATCTCGAACATTATCAGTCAACAAATTGTATACAAATAGTTTTAATGGTTTACCGTCATGAGCTTCAATCAATAAATATAAATCTTCTGAATCTTGTAAAGTTGAATCCGCTCCAATGATATAGTCACAATTAGATTGGAGTCCAGCTTGTTCAGCTGGAGAATTGGGTTCAACTTGTAAAATATGCCAAACGTTTTGATTAGCATTCTCAAAAGAACAAAACCTTATGGAAGCTCCGATTAAACCAGTTCCATTCCAATCATTGCTTGGTCTAATATCAACTTGTCTAATCCGGCCAGTTTTGCTATTAAAAACAGCCATCTTGATCGTTTGATTAGTATTTACTTTCAGTATTTCTTTTAAGGTTTCATTGTTTTGGTTCTGAAAAGAAAGAAAGAAAGAATGAGAATTTGCATAATGAATCTAATAAATGTATAGAAAAACAAAGTTTTTGGAATATTCTCATCTATATTACAGTGCTGAACAGATGCTTGCCTATCCCTGTAAATATTCAGATTCACTAAAATTATAAAATTTTTATAAATCATGCTACAATAAAGTTTTACTTGTTGATTTACTGGAACGTAGGTTAATGGTAATTTTTCATCGATCAATACTATGGATCTGAATAAAAACATCTAAATATTAAAAAACGAGAGACATTTCAAGAGAAAGAGCATCTCTATTCTAATTAGTAGATAAAGATTATTTAATCAACTTACAAGACGTGTATTACCGATGGACACAATGAAATCAAAATATGCTTGCAAGCCAGCATCAGCTCCAGGTGATCCTTCCTGAACTCTAAGAACATGGTATCCTTCTTTACCACCACCAGGAATTTCAAGAGAACTTGATGATAAACCCATTTTAACCAATAAAAGTTTTCACGACAACTAAGTTAAAACAATTTAACAGAAATATACTAATAAGCTTAGTAAACAAACTAAACAATATTGTTATCTTATTCAAGTTGTCAAATGGATGACGTCTAATCATTGGAGTCTTATGATTTAACTCTTTTAATCACCTTTCCAGCAGATGGCGTCTCTTCAGCTTAAAATTCATTCAAAAAATCAATTTCAGCCAAGATTTTTCAATTTTGATTAAAAAGTTACGATAACTCGGTATTACTGAGCGTAATCAATTTACCTAAATCCATACTTAATAGCATAAAAGATTTAAACCTTACTGTTTTAGATAATTAATATTGAATAATGAGCTTCAACTAGAATTTTCTGCGCATTTTGAATTAAATGGAAACAAAAAATAGAAAGATTTATTTAAATGAGATTAATGATCATAAATGTAGACTATTTAATGATGATTTTTGGTCTTGAATCGAACCATTTAACTACCATTAATCTTTATGTCAGTATTTGTTATTATTTTACGTTTTTTTTATTAAAAATCAATCACTTCTGTAATCTAACCGGTTTACATTATTTATCAACGCTCCCTTAAATAGGCTGCATGTTTCGTTATTTTTTTGACTATTATTGGTTTTGTAAATAGTGTTGATTACTAATTGATTTTTGTGACCATCTATTTAATCAGTTTGTTTACTGATCCTCAGTGTATCGTTATGAGTTGGATGAATTTAAGAGTTGCTGCCGGTTTGGCTGGTGGTCTGTTTATTGCATATTGTGTTTACTTTGATCGTAAAAGGCGCTGTGATCCAATGTTTAAAGAAAAATTGAGAGAAAGTAAGTTTGTTTTCATAATTTATAATCAAATTATTATTTCACTGACTGGTTCAGTTGACGACCTTATTGATCGTACAATCAATCTTATTCACTCCATTATTTGTTCTTTACAGGGAGAGCCGCTGCTCGTAAAAAAGAGGAAAGCAGTTTCTCATCTACCGAGTTCCCAGATTTACGAGATCAAGATGCAGTTCAAAAATTCTTTATTCAAGAAATCCAATTAGGAGAAGAGCTTCTTGGTTTAGGTATATATTTTAATAATATCTTTGAATTCTTCTGCTTGCCTTTATTAAAAGAAACCTTTCTTATTTATTGTCTTTAATTCCTTAGGTGACATGGATGGTGGAGTAGAGCACCTCACAAATGCTGTGTCTGTTTGTGCTCAGCCTAATCAACTTCTTCAAGTTTTAAATCAAACTTTGCCACCACAAATATTTCAAGGAATTATTAATCGTCTACCAAGTGTCTGCCAAGTATGTACTCATGAGTTCATTGTTTTTCATAGAAAGGGCGTTGATAAACTATCATATCATCTTTCAAGTTTGATTTAAACCAACATATAGTTTTCAAAATGTTCATCTGTGAAATAACGCATTGATTTCAGTAATTTCTGTTTATTTTCTTTCATTTATTAATTAAATTATTCATTTTTTCAGAAATCTGCTGCTGCTGCCGCTTCTGCTGCAACGAATTCTTCATCTGTTATGGTGGAAGATGACGTCGAATAGATGATACAAAATATCCTTAGTATTGATAAATTAGTTGTGACTTTTATACAGAAATTAATTTTGATGACTATAATTCATAATTATGGCTCCTAAGCATACTTTATCATCCATTATATTTGAAGGATACAAACCATCGGGTATGCTATTTCATTGGCGTTTAAATTTTCAAGATTCCTGATAAATTATGCACATAAAAACACCAAACCACCATTGAAGTCAATTAGATAAATTAATATTTTGATTTTTCAACGGTGCTTATCCCAAAGCTTCAGTCAAAATTATGTAAAATACATGAAAATTAAACTTAATCAAAAGTTATACATTCAATTTCGAACAGCCAACCTTTCCTTTAATCATAATTTCATAAAGAATAGACTTCATAAAAACCAAAAATGTAACAGTCAATTTATTTTATTTAATTTTCTTAGGACATTGATTTGATTCATGAATCAGATGAAATATATGTAGATGAAGATAAATATTCATTTATCGATTTTTCTTCAATATAATAGCTTAATATAATTTTTCTTCTCCAGAATTACAATGATCAAGACAGTAAATTTAGTTCAGAACTCGTATTTTTAACCGAATTCACAAAATAGTTGTAAACTTACAAGTATAATATTCGATTGCTTTTTGAAAGGTTTAGAGAACAAAAGAAAGAAAACGAATGGCGATTAGATTGCATCGAATAAAATTCAAAGTAAATTGCCATCAAGAATTGAGAGAAATCAAGTTGTAAACAAAATCAAACGAAAAGAGGAAACAAAACAACAATGATATTAATTTATCGATCCAGGCATAACGAGTGTAGTCAAAAGATTGAGTCGAATCATCACCAGTATTTGCAATTAGATGATTAAATGCTTAGCATCAGGGCTTATTGATGGTACAATTTTGAGTCTCATTAACATCAACGAAACAAATTGTCTTGAGTATTGTGAGATACAGAGTTGTTTATCTAATTCGATGTACCTCTGATTTGTAGCAGAAAAGTGCTTTTTGATGGCGTTGATTGAAAGTGTAATTGTTCTTGATCTTGTACATTTCAATTACATTCATTAACTATTAATAAGTAGAAGAGAAACAAGATGAAGCGGGAAAATTTTTGGTGATGATGGCAAAAGGGTAAGAATATGGCCAATTAAGAGTTGAATATTGAATATAGAGCAATGAATGACTAGCTTTTAAATTGATGGCTTTCTATGGATATATCAGCTTGAATGAAAGAAAAATACATTTTCTTCATAAAAGTTAAGTTGGCGATTCCATGGAAAAATTAACTTTCGTCAACATCTTAAGAGTTATAACCTATGATTGAACGGATAACAATTATCTCCAAAATAAACTTAAAGATGTAGAGTGCGAGGAATTGAGAGAAATATTGAGGCAATTAACCAGCATCAGGGTGAATGATTACACATTTGTAGCAAAATCATTACTGATCTCATGTTGGACATAAAACTTTTAAAATGAAATCAGTCAACAGGGTGGGCACTGTTGGGCTGTCTTCATTCACAGCTTTCAAAACTGAAAAAGAAATTAGAAAAAAATTAGTTCAAAATGTAGCGAAAAAATACAAACTGAATTTTCAATACAATCAAACCATTATTCCTATAAAAAGCTATTGATTTGTAACACTCATGAGCAATTAAGATTTGTATTTGTTCCGGAAAACATGGTATGCATTAAACAAAAATAAATAAAACTTGCTTAGCAATAATCTTTGGAGCTTGGGTTTCAAGGAACTGGAAATTATTGAAGATTGTGATCGATCATCTCAAGATGTCAATGATGTTAACGATCAGTAAATATTTAATACTAAAGTCATTTTTAAAGTATTTTAATGGTTTGATTGGTATTTGTTTAAAAAATTGAAGGTTAGTTTATTTGAAAAATGCTTACTTTTTATAAGAATCTGGATTTTCCTTACATCAGGTGGACCATCAGCAGGATTATATGGGATAACAGTGGTCAAATATTTTGGTTCATTGGCACTTTTACCCTTCTTTCGCTCTAAGTGATGCTTACGACGCTTATTTTGTATTCCCAATAGCAATGAAATGAAAGTATTTTTCAATTCTTTCTCAAATTCCAGTTCATCTCTCAAAGCCAATTCTTGTATGAGAGTTTCGGAATTTCCTTGAATCATTCGTTCTAATTCAATGTAAAGCTCATTCAGCTGAGTAATTGTTAATTTTTCCAACTTTTCTCGATAAATCAGTGACCTTATTCCGTTATCTGTCTCATTTACTGTCCGATTTGTTGAACTTTCTTTTTCCTCTTCCATTGGTTCACTTGAATCCTTGTCAGTTGGTGATGTTTCCTGCATTATTTTATCAATTTCCTCAAGAACTTGCTCTGCAGTAAAAATGGGCTCCTGATGAAGGCTTGATAAAATCAAAGAATGTAAATCCAAGTCTTTCGCTAAATCTTCTTCATCAAGGGTTGTATCTCCTAAAATATTATCACCATGATTCAATGAATTTTTGCTGTTTAAACAATTAATATTTGTTCCATTTTGATCTTTAGCTTTAAGTGATGGCAATTGAAGTTTACGTGCATATGATTGACTCCAATCAACCGGCAGAATGTTACCGAAATTTCCCGTCAATGTCCACCACATCCTATCAAAGATTAAAATGAAAAAAACAAATTAGTAAATTGTTTAGAAAGAAAACTACATTTGTATATAAGAGTTACCATCTTAAATATTACAGTGATGTGCCAGATAATGGGAATAGGTGGAAATAGCTTATTTGCACTATTCGTCGGGCACTCGAATCTATGATTATCAATCTTGCTTAATAGATTGATTTCGTCTAAAATTATTATTGCTATCTGCTTTCTCGAGTTTTTTGATTGATATTTCACGAAAGAAAATCAAATTAAGTTGTTTAATAACTGGAAAAATCTAAATAAAATTTGGTCAAATCCAAATCAAATTTAACTCTTTTTCAATAGGGACCGTTGAAAAAAATTATTCCCATTATCTGGCACATCACTGTAATGTAAGCTGCAGATTGAATATCACAACAACATAAATTTACAATTCTCTGTGTTCGAAACCAACAAAAAGTGTTCTTTGTTAAGATTTGATTGAAAAATAATTTATTTAAGCGCAATTTTCCAAACGATCAATCAACCATAAAAAGCTGGTAAATTATTAACTAAAATGGAAAGTGTAAGGGGTGGAGGATGAATTCTAGTATGATACAGAAAGAAATAATAAGGATGGAACAGGAATAGACTTCGTAATTGATTAATTATAAGCTGCATTATATCTCAACACCTAAATTGGATAAACCTTGATCTTGAGTAGGAGTGACTCGAAATATCCTGAAAATTGTCATATAAAAAGTAAAATCAACAAATTGTGACCTTAAACGTGAAGATTGCGATGATTCTGTACGATTGAATTGGACGAAAATTAAAGGTGCTTACATAAATACTTTTAAAGCATGAGGATATTATTAACAATATGAATTGATTGAATCTTTCATCGATCATATCAATCAATGGTTGCATTTGCAATAAATTTAGATTAATGCTTTCTTTTGCTCTATTTCTGGAGATTTGCAATTGATATATGTGGTAGATAGTTGATAGAAAAATAAATAAATAATGAAAAAATGTATCTAAATTGCAAAGTTCGAGGTTTTGAAGAGGAGTTTAGATCACCTTTTCCTCTATCTTAATTAAAATAAGTTTAACCCCGCATTTACAATACATATTGTTAACCAAGATAATTAAATGAACCTACATCACAATAAACTCCAAATACGGTTTTGTTTAGGTTGATTACCAGTCTTAATTACTTCTAAACTTGACTTTTTATATCTAATCAGTATCCTTGAATATTTCAAAAAAGATGGACAAAGGTGAAGTATAAAATAAATGTGATTACATATGCGAATGAATTGGAATCAATTAGCTAAAATGGCTTTCAACTTACAATAATTGTGATTCGGGGAAAATAAATCAAACAACGAGCAATGTTTAATCTTTTAAAATAGATAAGGGTGTGTCGGATGGCTATGGACATAGGCAGTGCAATAAAAGGATGAGTAAGACGATGGAAAGAGGGAAGGAAGAAAGGAAAAAGGATGAAGATATTTGTGCAAAGACAAGTAGACTACTCTCTAAGGTCAGGATAGAAGCATCTTTAGAGTGAAAAAAATGGGAAAGGTTGATTGTTTTGAAAAATTGAGGTAACAAGCATGCTTACATTAGGTATACTCGAATAGTAATAATAGCGAAGATTGAAATTAACACTTACTGTGAATCATTGATAATATCCTCTTGAGCACGAACCTGAACAGGCGCTAATTTTTCAACCGATTCTTCATAATCATGAAAACATTTTGTTATCTTCTCATCAAATGTATTTACCAGATCCTCTAGTGATCCAGAAATGGTCTCCTTGAAGTTGGTCTCCAAGAAACCAGAATCTACATCGTCAATTGAGGCAGGCAATGATTTACAATTAGTCCCTGAATTGGCTTGATTCCGTCTATTATTTTCCAATTCAATTTCACTTGGCTCATAGTCGATATCTTGGTTGTTTTTGTTATTGAATCCCTGGTAATCAATAAAATCAGGCCAATCTTCACCAGCAGCCAAAGGAGCTTCACATTTCAACTCGGACATTTTGATTCTCACAAAACCATCCAATTACAATTAGATGTAAAACTTGATTTCAATATAATCAAATCATTTTAACATTAGTTAGTGGATTGAAAACACAATCAAAATCAAAGCAACAAAAATTAGAGATGAAGTAAAGACCAAAAGACAGAAGCTTTCAGAAGAGATTCAAGCTAACATTCAGTGAGCAAACTTGAGCAGAAGAGACCATCATCATTACCATGGTAACAGGTTCTTTATGAAGCTCTCTATTGATTTTTTGTTTCCTGTGCTAAAGAACGGGTTAAAGTCACTGATTTACCGAGATTTAATTAACTACCGAGTCAATCAACTTTAAGCAGCTCTAGAAGTTTGATGAAGCTCAGGTTCTATTTCTCAAGTACCAATAATAGCTCAACTCTAACCACAAATTGAACCGAAACTTCATACAGATGAAACATTATCAGAAGGAATTAAAGATTAAGCTTGCAAGAACTTTTGAAAACATCTTTTTTTTATACATAATAAATATTGATGCACTATTTTATTCATACTGAAAGCTTCACAATACATCAAATTGTAGTTTAACTGTCATTAAAAAATTCACGAGAGAAAATAATTTTTTGGACTTTAAAATATGAATGAACACCAATTCACATATTAATTCAATATTAAAAACAAACACGCTATAACAGGTTCGAATAAGAATTATGTTTTAAGTAACAACTTGATTACATCATTCTGAATTAGACTTCCTGTGATGCCATTGGAAGAGTCGATTGAGATGAACTGTTTCCTTTATTGGCTTTGGGTAACAGTACAGCGTGAATGTTGGGGATAACACCACCTTGAGCTATGGTAACACCAGCAAGCAACCTATTCAACTCCTCGTCATTTCGAATGGCAAGTTGAACATGTCTCGGTATAATACGTAATTTCTTGTTATCGGAAGCAGCATTACCAGCCAATTCAACGATTTCAGCAGTCAAATATTCCAATACGGCAGTTAAATAGACGGCGGCTCCATTACCAACTCTTTCACTGTAATTCCCTTTCTTTAGCAGACGATGAATACGTCCAACCGGGAATTGAAGACCAGCTTTAGATGATCTTGAATGTTTAGTTTGAGATGATGTTAAAGAAGATTTGGCACCTTTTCCACCTCGACCAGACATTTTAACAATTTTTAAAACAAAGAGTGGAACAAAAAACAAAATCAATTTATGTTGATCAAACAAACAATTATTTAAAAATGAAGAAACAAACGGTTAACAATTTCATTTTATACCAAGACAACGTGATGTAACCCTAGCTTTCTGATTGGCTAATTATTTGTCTTATCTCTCTTGAAAAATTCAAAAAATCTCTAACCAACATTTTTAACCTTTAACTAGTGTTAACCAGAAGATAATTGATAATATTGTTTCTGTTTAGCTAATCATGTATTGTTCAACGGCTTTTTATCTGATTGTGTCTAAAAAGGGAATTATTGGACATTTCCAAATCAATTCTTATCGTGACATTTGAAAACCTTTGCGTTTATTTAGATTGTGTTTTGTGAAATTTTTTTCTATTTTTTGCGTATAAATATTTTTTTTATTTGGCAAAACTTATAAATTAATGACAAGTTGGATATTATTCGTCCAATTTTATTAGATCAACAAGTGTTTTGACACCTTCCCAGGTTTCCTCTGCTGTTGGTAAGATGTAATCTCGGGGCAAAATGAATCCATGTTCACCCTTGTCTCGAAGCTCCACTATAAAGCTGTATTTAATTCCTACTCTTGAGTATACCCAATCTGGCGATGATCCTGAGCATGGATAAATTGTTGTTGCCATAGGTCCAAAGCGGTAAGTTTCCCCATGTACTTGTTTAACTGAAGCAGAAACATTTTTTAAAATCTCATACAATTCCTCATGATGTGGAGAATGTTGAGTTGTGAATGCATGAGGTATCATCCAAAGTTGAGAGTATGAATGTAATGTGAGAAAGACTTTTAAAGATTTTCCCAATTCTTTAGATTAGAAAGAATAAGAATATGAGAAAGAGATTAACCATCAAGAGACTGAATATTTTCAATATATTTTATTGGATTAATCAGTGATCGGTAGTCACACACTTACTCTGAACTCCATCTCTGACGGCTTGACTCTCCTTTTCACTGAATGCTTTATCTCCTTTAAACATCTCTGAACACGGATTTGGACTTGTAGAGTAGCCTCCAAAATCAATGTCAAAGTTGCGATTAGGGTCAGTACCTAAGCGAATAGCAGAGAAGATAAGTCAAATCTTAGAGTTACATCATTTGTCCCATTACATCTTGTCCAAGCAATTCTTATTTCTTAATCATCTCAACTTGTTAAATACTAATTTTAATACTCACCGATACATTCTTCAAACAGATTCCATGGATATCGAATTGGAACAGCTTTTGGAAGAGCTCTGTTCTTCCTCCATAATCTGTTGGACCACCAAGTGTACATATAACCGTCTGGATTAACGATCGGAATGATATACCAATCAAACTTTTCCACCAATTGTCCAATAATGGGTTCAGCCTCATGTTTCTCCGTTAATTTGTACATCATATACACTGCTGTAGCCGGTGCGATCCATTCTCTCGCATGAATTCCAGCATCAATCCAAATTGCTGGTTTTGTGTCGTTTGATTTTTTGCCAATCTATTCAATCAGGTAATTGATAAAAACAAACATATATCACCATACTAATCTATATTTTTTATTTCAGCTGTTTTATCCACTTCGACAACAATTTCAACATAGCTGACATTTATTTTGATACTTTAATTAGGATAGATTGGACAACTACCCAATCATGGATTTACCCATTGATAAACTATCAATAGGGTTAACATTAAAAGGATTCCGTATAACATTTGGTCTTACCTTAAGTCCATTAATCTTATGGAATTCATAGGTTTCACCAAAATTAATTACCTCTACCATATCAGGATATTTAGTTTGCAAATAGCTCATGTAATCGTTGATCTAAAAGAGTATTAAATTATCAAGGCAAGTAAATTAGATAGTGACATTAGATCACTAACCTTATTAGTAACTTTTTACCTTTTTTATGTTAAATAATTAGTTCAAAGTTTTTTAATTTGTATTTATTTACCTCTTCATAGGTATGATAATAGTCTAAACGGAACTCAGCTGAATGAAATCGTCCTGGTGAATAGGCATTCTTCAAATCCATATTGTTTTCAAGACGTTCCCGTTCAATCCATTTCTGTAAATCATTTGTGACCACATGATACTTTAAATTGGTTGAATTGAGAAAACTATCAACTCTTCTATGATATCTTGGATCAACACGAAAAGTTAATTTGCTGTTGAAGGGTGAAGGTTCACTCCATATATCAAGATCAACGGTTTCACGAAGATCATTAAACAACGAGCTAACAGTGTTATCACCTTTAACATCAACTGAATATAATCGATGGTTAACAAATGATTTGTGTTGATTATAAATATCACAATTGATTAGATTCAATTGAAAGATGAATGGTAAAACAGTCAGGTAGTAAACTAGAGTTAGACATAGCATTTTATTTAGCATTAGTTTCAATTTTGACACAATTAATAAATTAAATGTTAACAAAAGGTGATGATCGATGTTGACGAAAAATTGATGAAACTCAATTTTAAAGGTCACAGTTGTGTAAAGCGCAACAAACAAACCAGTATTAAATGAATAAGAATTATGTGAAGAGATGAAGAAGAAGAAGAAGAAGAGAGATAATGAGAGAGAGAAGGAGATAAAGGTTGACAAAATTGGGGCCATTTGAGTCCATTTTGAGGCCATTTACATTGAGCATAAACAGTTAAAACCAGTTGGATGTTATCCATCTCCGTGTTGGTGTTACTCAAAGATAACCAGATTGAAATGATCATTGATTATTAGTGATTTAACTGTTCATTGCCCTGTTAATCCAGGTCAAAAGTGGTACATAAATAATCAAATGATTAAGATTTTTCTGTTAATTAGTAAACTTTCAATTTTCTAGCGAATGATGGTCACTTGATCATTGAGTTTCAATACAATTGCTTATGATCAATTGATTTTACTCTGACTCTAATTTTAACGGTCTACAAGTTAATCCATCAATCTTAATCAAAGGTTTCAATAAGGTCAATGATTGAATCAGATAAATTTGATTTGTTTAATTGATTATACCGTAATCTGTACAAATTTATTGAATTTTTAAAACATTATCAATCAATTCTGAGTATTTTCTGGTAAACTGAGGTTATAAATCAGTCAATAGGGGATAGTATTTTATACTGGTTTATATTTTTTTCAATCAAATTTGAAACAATTAATTACAATATTTAAAATATCTATTACATTGTTAAGTTAAATATTATAGGTCGTTTGATTAGATTGTGCATCAATCTTTATTTTTAATTTTCATCAATATTGCTCCATAATTCAATAGTTATCTCAAGCTCAAATATAATTTAATAACATATTATATCTACAAATATCCATAAATATATTAAAATAGACTCAAGATCAAGATAGCTTTTGAATTATTGTAAGACTAATATTTGATGGATAACATTCATTTGTTTCAACATTAAATTAACTAAACCCAATTGGTTAACCACAGCAATTTAAGTGATAAATTGAGAGTTGGAAGACAAAGGAAATTTCATCTCGTAAAAGTAAATGATAGAAAAAACAAAATTAAAATATGATTGTCAATTGCTACTCTGAAAGTAGCAAAATACCAAAGAATGGCAGGTTAAATTATTATCCAAATGAATAGATGGATCATAATTACAGATGAAGATTAACTTAATTTACATTGCTCTCTTTGCTTTCAAAGTTGCATCGCTTGACCAATTGACTTTAAAATCATACAATTAATGCTGTTTTACAAGCTTTCAGTCTTCAATCACAAAGAAATATTGAATTTCTTGAAAAACAATTGAATAAAATTTTACACTTTAGATCATTTGCAGCTTAATGATAATTGGTAATGATAACGATGAATAATTGTATTCAAGAATGAAACTAATTGTTCTCTTTTTTGCCTCCTTCAATTCAGATATTGCCTGGCTGTGAACATGAAGTGTAATCATCTCAATCAATCAATACGATGTTTGCCGTAAAATATATGGATGAATAAAACAGTTGGACAATCCTTTGAGTCTTTGATAGACACGTATTACTCAATGGAACTAAATGATGACCAAAGATCTCGAGAGTAATTTTTACATGGGTCACAATCAGCTGAAGTGCGATCAATTGAGGGTCCCTTGAAACGATAAAAAAATATGCAAGAACAGCAAAGAGCCAATAATGAAGCTTGAAAGATCATTGAAGCTACCAAAGAGGCCATTAAAGTAGTCTTTGAAGTACAAAATAGTGATGAACTGTCTGGAACTGGAAATAACAAAGAAGAAAGATATAATTAGAAAACAAAATCAATACAAAAAACTGAGTTAATCAACCTTTTTATAAAGGCAAATCCATTGGTAGCAGCAACAACAATCATCATAATCAATTTAAGGTAAACACTTTTAACAATCTTAACATTCCCTGAGTTCAATCAAAATTTTCCCATTCACATTTCCTAACTCAATAATTTAGCTGATGCAGTGAAAAACACACAGTAAATAATAACCAACAATCAGTTGATAACAATCTAAATATCAAACACTTGATTCTTATAAACAATTGTAATTGAGTTACGTAATTTATTTACAGACTTTACTCATATGTGCCGAAATAGCTCAGTTGGGAGAGCGTTAGACTGAAGATCTAAAGGTCCCTGGTTCAATCCCGGGTTTCGGCGAACTTTTGCTTTTTTTTTATTACCTTTTCTATATTATTCACAGGTGTTACCCTCATTCAATGATGCTCATTGTTACTCACTAATAGAATCACTAATTACAATCAAATGAAATATGAAATTATTTCTCTTTTTATTCTGACTAATAAGTGAGATTAAATTTGAATCATGGTCTTGTAGCTAAAATGTTGTCATAAGGTTTTAACGTTTCATTAGCTATTTGGGTAGGAAAACAATTGATAAATTGGAGCAAGTGTGATATTTCATTTATTTTTTAAGAGTTTACCAGGAAAAAGACTGATTGGATTTGAAACTAACCTTTTTTGGAAAATCCGTTGTTTTGCTTGGAATTGGATGAGGCTAATCCTTGAACCTTTAATTCTCGGTGTAATGGATAATCTGGTAAAGGAGCTGAATCATCTTTTGAATTGATACCTTTTCTTGACTCATTGTTATTATATCTATCAACAGTTTCTCTTCGCCTTCGAGCACGAGTTGAATAGGATGGAGGTTGGTCAGCGTTGTTTTCAGGTGATACTACATCTTCACTGGACGATGCATCGTAACAAGTTGGCTGTGGACATTTTTGTAAACAAAAGTGTACATTAACCTGGAAACGGACAATTTCATCATCTGCAAACTTGAATGCATCAAATTTTCCCTGCAATGATTTACTTCCAGGAACCCTTTCCATATTAGGAAATATAGCTGTATCCGTAGGACATCTTAATGAATGAAAGAGAAAAGGTGAAACAAAAACAAATGGTTATGTGTCATGGTCAATAATGGTTATGAAAAGAGACGGAGAAAAGACAAAGAAGATGAAAAGAAAGAAAAGAAGAAAATGAACTGAATGGCGAAAGAAAAAGAAGAAATCAAATTAACTTGTTAATGGACAAGATCAATGGTTGAGGAACAGTCATCACACTGGGTTAATTTGCAAGTTGAAGCTTTTATATCAACCCAGTATTTTCCTCGTTCCTCAGACGCTTTCCTGAAATAATTCAATTCCAATTGAGGAAGTAACATTTTCAAAACATAAGGTGTTAATATAATGGATTGGGTGATGGTCACTTGTCTCTTCGCCATTCATTACATTTCATTAGATCAAGTTTTGCTACCACTATTACATCTCTTTACATCTCTATCTTTCTCACACACAAATGTGCAAATTATACAAGGTGTTTATTGTATGACCCAGCAATAAGAAGAAGCAACTTAAATTTTGTATCACGATGATATTAGGTAAAATTTAAACACAGAGTCATGCCTTTAGTAGATGTAATAACTATTAGTATTAATATCAGTGTTTTAGTCTGATGTTAACATTCATGATGATGTATTTTTAAGTTGCTCAATTTTTTTATTGCTTTGTTTATGGGTATCATAAAAACTGTGCAATTTATATAATAGATTGAGCTGTGATTAACTCGTCTAACTAACCCGTTACTGTCAATGAGAGTTATAGCCTCTTCAGCATTCCCACTGCGAGCAATCAATTCACGAGCAAATATATCAAACACTGAATCATTTTCCATATCAATTCGCAGGTACAACTCTTCGCCAAGTCTAGCTCCAACAACGTCAAGACCATCTTTATCCGTGATACGAAGTTTAATGTTTGGTGTTGGTGCGGTTGCATTAACAACAGCAGTTCCAGCCACATCAAGTCTATTGGAAGGATAAAGAGAAAAAAGAAACACCATAAATTGAATTTTAACATAAAAAGTTCCAAATCAAGTAAGAGAGAAATTAAAATCCTCTCATGTTATCATGAAATTAATTTAGACATTAGATTTATACATCCAAGAAAATGGATTTTAGTTGAATTTCTCAGCCCAGAGAGACATTTCAGACACATTAGCTGGTAAATTGTGTTTTTAATGTCTTTAGGTATAATTATAAAATGTAAATTACTAGTCTAATGAGTAGTGTACGAGAAAAAAACGGAAGTCTGTAAACTAATTTTAAAATTGTTTTAGTGGAATCAGGAATGACAACTTACGCAGGGATCACTCTATAAGAATTGGTAACCAGTTTTGTTGGAGCTTCAAAGTTACATACTAATCGAACCACTCGGTCACCTTTACGCTGGATTACTGGATGATATTGGATAATAACAACAGTTGAATATTTACCATCATTCTGTGGATCAGTGGAACGCAATAAAGAAAAAACAATTAGATTAATTGTGCAAATTTGTTGATGGAATGAATCATACCTCTTCACGAACTCCACATTTGGCAGAGGTTCTTAATGGTAAACTGAGCGATGTAGACCTTTGCCTGGTTCCAAACGATTCACAGGCCAATGGATCATCTTTAGCATAAATTTTACCCACAAATGGTTCAAAAGTGTTCAATGAAATCCTCATTTCTTCAGGCGTACAATCAAGCTTAACTGTTTATGAAAATTTCAATGTAAAGTGGAAAAATGGATCAACAATTGGCTCAATGATACAAAAAGCTATATCAACTTACGATTCAAACAGTTTGCTCTTTCAAAATAAAGCACTCCAGGTGAAGCCACCAATGAATCTTTACCACCACTACTGTAGGAATCATCCGAGTTCAGCCAACACAATGATGAGGCCGCTTTGAACGCAAATGAACGACAAACAAATGCTCTTGTAGCTTCACACAGAGTTTTACATTGCTCTTCACTGAATGCTGTTGATTAAGAAGATTAAATTTTTGGTCATAATCAGCCAATTTAATGGTAGGTCAAATCTTATGTAATAATTGATAATTTTAGGCTCAGTTCCTAACATTAAAATTCGTGATTCAATCATGTTCATTTGATATTATTTTAAAACTAATCTTAAAATTATATCAAGTATAGTCTGTCTAGCTTAAATGTAAATTTTTACTCCTAATAATGATGTTACTGAAAATTGTGTGTGAAATGTCTGATTTGAAACATTTTTACAAACTGATTTTGACTGATTGAATTTTGTTGAAAGCTGAACTGAATCACATGCATTACTTGTATGTGACCCACTCAATGTACCAACATGTTCTGATGTGAATTAAATTAATGTTGGCAATGCCGATAATGATAGTTAAAAGGTAAAGTAGATGCTAGTAAATAATCATAAAATATCAATATCCTTGTCAATAAACATCAGCTAATGATATTTTCCGGTTAATTTTGCTTTACATAATGATTATTATTATTACATTATATTGATACTCTTCTCACCACTCTTAATTGTTATTTAAAATATTAGAAGACGTTTCAGACGGAAAAAAAAGGTTGATGAATTAAGATGAAGGATAAACAATTTACCTGATTTCATAAGGTCAGGTCTGTTAAGTTCAAGATTTTCAAATCGCTGGTAACCACATTCGGATGGAGCATTAGGAATACCAGGAAGACCAGATTCATCCTCCTTAACCAAAGGCAAAGGTGAACACTCATTTTCAAAATAATCAACCGATGGTGGAGCAACCGTGTAATGAGTTGGCTGGGTTCGTCTATCCTCTGAACTTAATCGACACTCCTGAGTCAAATAATCATACTCTCCACTGCGACAGACAAATGACCTTTCCTTGAGACAAATTTCTTGACACTTGAGACGACTGGCTATTGCGGTTAAAACACGATTATCATAGCCTAGTATTTGGCGTCCAATTACACGTTCAAAGGTCCAAGCTTTCTCACATGTTGGCACGGAGAGGCAAATCTTTTCAAATAAAGAGGTTCGCTCAGAGGTTGCAATGATTGATGTGCTTCGTGAATTTGAATCGTAACCCATTCCCATGCAAGCGTGCTTCTCATAGTTTAACACAAAGGCACGACAATTGGGACCAGCTCGACATCGATTGTTACACTCGGCAGATACTGGAGTTTCACCTTGTCCTGTATATAATGGAACCAGATTGACTCCACGAACATTTACATTGGTCATCTTTTCAAAGGAAACTGTTGTTCCAGATGGACATTGTCCTGAAAAAGTAAAATTCAATATAAGCACAAGTCGAGGGATTAACATGATGAAAATGGCAAGCTGAAAGATTGACACAACATGGTAAAACAGTAATCAGGAACTAATTACACAAGCCATCAAACTAATTAGGAAACAATTGATAGCAGGGCTCAACTCCTGATGATGTTTTGTTTTACTTTGTCTCTCCATCCATAATGAATATCAACTAATGCTGATAATTATTCATCATGCTGGATATATTCAATAGTTTGGTTTATCAATCATTTTTATTATTCATCTCAGTGTTTAGTACAAAATTGAAATCAGTTAAAGTAGCATTTTTGACATTGTTTTTGTTTATTTTCAATTTCTTATAAATCTTTACCTTTTGAAAGCTTGTAACTTACAAATGAATTTCATATTATAATAAAAATTTCAGCATTTTGATCTTGATACAAAATGATTTGTAACAAAAGCTAATTTTCAGGTGAAAAGCTGTTTATTGTTTATAAATGCAGTGCATGTGGTTATTTGAGGCCAACGCTCAGACAATCTTGATTTAAAGTAGATTAAACGGATAATTGCAAAAAATAAATTGCAGTAAAAAACTAGCTAAATTGTGATAATAATACTGAGAAAAAAGAGGTTGAAATTGCAGAGTAAAAAATGACAATATTTGTGGTTTTGGTTCTTCAACCTTTTTCAACTCACTTAATGGTACATTTTTTATCAACATGAATCGCCATAGACCTATGAGCTTCAACATGAAATTAAGTGTAACAAAAAGCGAAGAAAAAGTAAACTTGATGATGATGATGATAATGGTGATGGTGATAATGATGATTATATGATGATCGTTATATGGAGTGAAAAAAGAGTCAAAATGAAGAAGATCATTGCCCTAAAACAAATAAAATTTGTTTCGCTTTTGTATTTATCGTGAAAAGGGAATGATTAAGTTTAAAGTGGATATAGAATAGAGAATTGATCTACTAAATCAATAAGATTACCCTGAAGTGATTATGTGTTGAAAATAGTTGTTGATTGTTAATAACAATCAGTCAAGTATAACAAATAGATAAACTGTTAGGTGAGCTGCTAATTTTTACCATTGCTTTACAGATGAATGTTGGAACAGGTTATAAAAAGGTTTCCAATGATGGTGACAAAAATACATAAAAATATAATCAAATAAGTGAAGGTGATTATGATGATGATTACACTCATAATAATAACATGAAGACAATCTAGAAATGGTTCAACTAGAAAAAGAGAAACTTTTCATTTCACTTTTCTTCATCTTCTTCAGATTCCTTTTCTTACTCCATTGGAAATATATGATCGTTAATGAGCCAGATGAGAGACAGATTAGTATTATTATTATATTATCATTATTATATTATTATTATGACTGAAGGTGAAGGTGGATATTTAAGAGTGTTTTGTTAAAATGAAGATCAGCTGGAAATAATGATTAAAATAACAATAAGTTGATTTATTCTGAGGTTAAATATGTTGAAGAAAGTGAGATTTATTCAGATGTAATCTTTTCATGTGTTTAATAATTTAGACTATTAAGCTTTTCATTTCAACACGAAATATCATTTTAAGATTTTTCATCTTCAAATGATAAATTATTTTCTTGACCAAACATCAACAACCTTTCTATGACAACATAATTTAACCAACATTTAGCCAACATCTTCATCACCTTAATCATCAAAATGCTCATCTTCATCATATTAATCGTCTTGAAACTTTCGTTTTTCAACTAAATGTAAAGTTAAAAATTTTCACAGCGTCACAACTGTCAAAATTGTCAAAATTTACTATTGCACCAAAATTATGATTGTTGTTGCTTTTAAATACAGTTTCTGAATTTCACTTGAAATATCGCATCTCAACATTTGACTAAATTGAAATAAGGATGAAAAATCAAGCTCGATTATTGTCTCAAAATAAATATCAAAACAATCGATAGAGTTAAACCATTTTCAGCATCATTGATCACTATATCATTGATCTAATTGTTTAATTGAACTTGAAAAGACTAATTCAATCATCAAAAACATAAAACAATGATAAATTGCATAAAACAACATTGATCAAACATTTATTAAACTTGTTGAAAAGCTATTCTGAATTTCAAATTTAATAAAGATCATGAAATTCTAGTGGATGATAAAATATCTGAAAGATCAGATGTTGATTTATTATAAAGATTATGCTGAAGTTGCTGATGGAAATGTAAATTGGATGAAAAACTGCAAAATGTAGACTCAATTGTTTCACTTTTTTGTCAAAAAAATTGACAAAATTGTTCATTTTTCTCATGATAATGATGATTTATCTGTAAAACTTCTCAAATTAGGTGTAAAAGGTTTGAATATTGAACTTTCCTGCCTGTTGATGATACAATTAAGCCAATAACCACAATATCAATCTGAGCGTTTCAATTTCATTTACAAACATTGAACAAATATTTTTCTCATATTAAAGCATTTTTTTCATATAACCACAAATTTGATCATCAATAAAGCCAATTGTAACTGTAAAATTGAAGGTTAATGATCAAAAAATACAATAATAATCATGATCGTGGTTATAATCAGCAATTAGACCGAATAACTTTATTGAGCTTTTTATTCTAGTTTTGTTTTTACTCCTAACATCATTTCATTCATTGAGCTCATCCATTTCAAGATGCTAGCCTAAGATAATGATGATGATGATGATAACAGTAATAATAATAATAATGATAATAATAGTGATGAGGACTGGATAAAGGTTGGATTAGGATTGATTATTGAGCTGATCAGTTGATGATGATAAACAGTGGCAAGTTGTTAGGAAGAAAGAAAATGTTTCATTTGAAGAAAAATGTTTTTCCAATCAAAGTGTAATTCAATAATCAAATAGAGAGATGCTGATCATCAATACTAATCATATGTTTGTGCCAACAATCAACTGTTTTCTCGATCATCTATTATGGATTGTGTAAAGTTAAATACTAATTAGTTTCCCAAATAGCAAATATTGTTAACAAGAAAAGGAGATTTGTGTCTTTTCCTCATCTTTACATTAATCAATTTGATTCGGACATTTTTGATTCTTAAACAATTTTGGGTTTTTTCATTGGACCTTAACTACAGGTTGATAAACACCGTGAACATTTTAACTCTTAATTTCAACTATTTATCAACTATGAAAATCTTGTGTTGCTGTTTTCACTCAACGTTAACCTGTAATCTGTTTTTGTTGACTTTGTTAACTGTTTTACAATCAAATGGCCTCTGGGCTGAGCACACTTTTAACTCGTCTTTGGGAGAGACTCAGGTGGACTCGGTGGTCTCGATCATTCCCAGTAACGGGAGGGAAAAAGGAGAAAATGAAAACACAGAACCATCAAATTTCAATGTCGAGTCCATCATCGATTCTGATGAACAATCATTCTCCCAACTAGAAGACTCTCAATCGTCTCCTAACAGTACTAGTGAAATAGATGAGCATAAAAATGCTGGAAACAATAACAATGATGAAGATAACAATCGATTGATATCTTATCTTGAAGGTAAAATCATTGAAATTGTACCGATAACTCAAGTTCCTATTGAAGATTACAGTGAAAATTATCATTCCCAGTCCAATGGCACTGGATTATTAAGTGACATGGAAAATAGTGAATCCATTCAATCAACTTATCACCATAATGAACCACCGATGGAACCAAGTGAAGATGGTAAAGAAGTCGAGAAGAGAGATAAAGTGACCAATAATGAAGATGAAGATAAATTGAGTAGTGATGAAAGGAAGCATGAAAATGTCAACAATTCAAATGCAACTCAAGATGTAAACTCATCTCCATCGGCCTCAATTCATTCGTACAATGATCTTAGAGCTTCGGCCAATTCGGTTGCCGTTAAGGTGGCTGAAGTAAAGAAGAAAAGTTTAGCTGCCAAAATGATGGAAAAGCTGAGGAAGAGCGACAAAGGTATGTTAACCCATTAATGTCTTCACCCAACCCTTAATCTCCTGCATCAAACCCCTGACTCCTGTCTTTGTCTAACTATTAACCGTGATATATGTCTATATATTACAGATGATTCATGTAACGAATCCCCACCTTATCCCCGTCCATCCTCTCTATTCTCGGGTGCTAAAGATTTGGTTTACGTTAACGCAGGTACTGATGATGCCAAGAAGAACATAATTGTTGTCTCAAATGGTGGCAGTTCAGGGGAATCTAGCTCTGGATCTCATGGATATGACGGTAATGCTGGTCATCACCATCACCATCACCATCAACAACTTGTAGCACCTGTTGAACCAATCCCGTCACATCAAATTGTACCAATATTCACTCCAATTCATGAAAATTTCGATTCCAAATCAGGTGATCATCGTCTTCATCACAGTCAACAACAACAACAACAGTCTCATCAATCGTATCCATTGTTTCACCACAATGAGGGTAATGGTCAAGGAGAGGGAACTGGGGAGACAAATAGCGAAGGATCAAGAGGAGCAATGATGGGAAATGATGGCCTTCCAGGTTCACCTTCGGCTGGTCATTATGGTCAAAATCTGGGTGATCTGTCGAGAGCTGTGGCTCAACATAATCACTTAGCTAACTTGGCTGAAGGTGAAGGTTCAGGTATGACTGGTTCCCAGGGTTCGAGTAATATGGATGGAAACAGTCAAGTTGAGTCAGGTTGGCCTTCTCATGTTGACTCTAATGGTGAACCTAACGATGTAATGAGAGGCCATTTAGGTCATGTTAACCAAATGCCTGGTCCTGTGGGTATGTCTGGTCGTTTACATGGTAATCGGCGTTTACAAGGGTCAGGTTCATCGCTTAGTGAACAGCTTCTTCATCCCATGAGTTCAAGTAGTCATGATTTATCTGGAACAAGTTCAGGTTCACCTTCATTTTCCTCTGTGATCGAGTCTCTTGGTTTAAATGATGCCAGTTCATCTCCATCAGGATCGGGTTCCAGTGAGTCTCGTTTCACTGGATTAAGTGATATCATTCGTAACTCAATGTTAATCAATTCACCCCGAGAACCTGAAGTAACGCCCTTCTTTGAATCAGCCAAGGGTGATCATTCGCATCATCATCAACATCATCCATCTAGTGAAACCTCCAATCCCTTGAATGGCAATACAAATTTGAAAGCATTTTCACTTCTCTCTGATTCAGGTCTATCCAATTATCCTTCATTATTGAGTCGCTCCAATGATTTAAGCTCAAGTTTACTCGGCTCTTCTCTTGGTTCATCATCATCAGGCGGATCAAGTGGATCAACTGGATCATCTCTCAATGATAGGCTACTAGCCTTGTTGGAACACTCATCTAAATCGGTGGACGATCTAAATGATCATCTCAACCCTCTAACAAGTTCAGCTCATGGATTAACCGAGTTGACCTCATCTCGACTCGGCGGTTCCTCATTGTTTAATGAAGACATTGGGCTTGATGATGCTCTTAAGCGGTTAACAATGATTGAGATGCTCAATAAAAAACAAATCCCACTGACAACTGGACTAATTGATGAACTTCGTGAGCCTTCACCACTGCACGGGTCAAACAACGCTAATCCATTAGCATTCATTGACAATGATTTACGAAAGTATAAAAATTTGCAACAATTGGCACAAGTGCAACAGGCCATCAAGAAGAGTCAAAATTCGCGAATTTTAAAGTCTAAAGCTTTCAATCGTGAACATAGTTTAACAACTGGTGACTCGGATGATGATACCTTCGATACCCAATTGGGTTCAAGAGGTGGACGAGGTTCAACTGGTGGAATGAGAGGAAACGGTGGAATGAGAAGCCAAGGTGCCTCAAGTGACGATGAGAGTGGAGACAGAGGTGGAAGACGCTTTCGTCCTGGACCTCGGATGAAAACATTTGATGCTTTGGCTAAATTTCGTGAACAAAGGGAACGACTTAAAGATCGCTTTAGATCATCGTCATCAGCAGCTTTGAACGGTGGAGTTTCAAATGGAGGCATGAATGGAAAGACTAAGGTTGAAGAGGAGGAAGAGGAATACGAAGAGTCGGGAGTTGAACATGAAGGTGATGAGTCAAGATCCATTCTTTTGGGTTGGAAGAAACCATCTCGTTCAGAGGAACAGCTGATTACTTTTACAGACAATTTTCACCATCTTAATGGACAATTAACCAACTCTTTATCATCATTATTACATTCACCAAGTTCATCATCATTGTTGACACCATCTTCACAAGCCTCAATACAATCTTCACCAACATCAACATCAACATTACCTTCCTATGCAAATGCTCAAGCTTTTAACCGAGGGACAAACCATCAACAACAGCAACAATCAAACTCTTTCTCTCCTCAGCAATTAAAATTTTTCAACCATCATTCAATCCTTGCTCATCAACTATCACCATTTGCTCACCACCCAAATCACCATCAATACATTCACTCTCAATATCAACAAACTAAACTGAATCAATAGTGAAACCAAGACAATTAAACTTGACTTCCTTGGACTGAACCAGCTTACAGGAATTGGATATCATTTCAATTAAGATTCTTTGTTTCAATATCCATTTGTTAACTGCTGTAACAATTCAACATTTCTCAATTATTAACAACTGGTTTTAGACTAATCAATGTCAGTAATTGCTAAGACACAAAGCATATAATTTCAGAGTAAATCACTGTTCAAGAAACCAGACTTTATGCTATCAACCATTGAAATGGTAAAGATTTAAGTGACTTGATTTGAACCTTTTATCCCTCCAAATTGATATCTATTAACTACAATGTTAAATTAGTGTTTCTAATTGAATTGAGTCACGCTAAACATCCAATGATCAAGTAATATAATTATTGACAATTGAATGTATTGATTGAAGTGCTTTGATATAATGTTAATAAACGTTTAGACTTTGACTGAAACCCATTGAATTATAGTTGAAAACCTGATCAGACACCGAATTACCTTCTGACTTATGTATTTACATAATTTTAATTTTAATTGAATAAAAATGATTGATTTTAAATTTACCAAAATATCAAATGAGGCAAATTGGTCAAGATTGGGAAAATGATGAGTAAAATGTTTGTAATTACCGTTAACAAAGTGTAATAAATATGATGAAAATAATGTTAAAATGGCGATATTGATTAGATCCATGGATTGGCCAATTAATTTTAATTGCTTTGGTAACATTTTAATAGAAATATTTGAATTATATTATCTGTAAAGGAAAAGAAGAGTTGATTGAATTGAATTAATATACGATTGAATTTTGATTTGTATTGAATTTGCAGCAACATTGGTGAAGTTTTGTGAACAAAACCTAGTGTCAAGTTAAAACTAAATTGACATGAATCAATAACAATTAGAACCAGATAATCTAATTTAACCACTTCATTGAAAAGACGTTTCTTTGATTGATATTGGCATCCCATTAGCATTGTATCTTGCTGTATGATTGATGGTCAATTCAGTTTTGAGTAGCAAACAACTTTCATCACCAAATTAACCTCAATGATGGATAGAAAAACAAATAATTAAACATGAAAACTGACTAATAATCATCCATCTTCATATTGAAATATATTTCATTCATTAAATCAATCAAAATTGACAGCAATCAAAGGCCAACCTTAAAAAAACTATATTCAAGAGGACAACAAAAAAAGGCATCTTGATGGCAACAATTTAATGACCAAGGTTGATAACAAAAAGATATGTCCAAGACACAAATCAATGGTATAATTTAAACATCAATCAGTTCTTATTATCCATATTTATTGTCATTTCAAGGATTCAAGCCGAAGAGTTATTTAGCTGTTAACCAGAAAAAATATCAACTGTTTGTCATTAATATATTTTCCCTCCTTTTCTGGTATCTTGTCGCTGCTTTGTTGGACAACATGCATTTTTAATTTTTTAGAGCTTTTACTCTTATTGTGTATTAATAATTGTTTAATTTTTTGTGATATAAAGTGTCTATGAATGTTCGTACATATTTATTATATGTTATCTTATTTGTCGTTTTAACCTCAGAATGTGTTCCACTGACTCTGACCAGGAGAAGGATTGAGGTATAGTGAAGGTGACCTTTTTACATTCAACTTACAATGTCAAAATACAAATTAATAATTAATTTAACAAGTAAACTATTAAATGAATAACCGATTAATAAAATAAAATTAAACATGAAATCAAAACCCCGAACACAGAAAAGTTCATAAAAATATATTCTTATCAAAAAAATCAAACACAGCTAAATAACTCAAGATGAGTCTAACACTACCTAATTAATAAATAATTATTCAACAAAATTATTTAATTTGGAAATATCAGTGTTGGCCATGTTGGGTGGGTGAGATGGTCGACCCCAGGACGTTTGCCTTGACCTTGGTCAAACTCAGGATGGCTATCTGAAGCCACTCAGCAAGGGAGTCAGCAATACTCAAAGAAATTAGCTCAAATTTAACAATATACTTAATCAACATGGACCTGAACAAAAGGATTTAATAAAAGGACCTAAACAATTTAATAATTTTATTAATCCATTAATCAAATAGTTATGTAAATTTTTTTATTGTCTTTTGTAAACTTAAGCGGTGGAATGTACCGCTATGGGTGTGATTTTTTTGTAAAAACACCAGATGGAATTTCTCTATGACCGAGTTTTTCCGCCTCGACCCTCTGTCGGGCAAAACTGTAATAAGTTTGCTTTTGCTTTAATAAACACATTACTCATTGTATCTTTTTTACCAACGTCTAATTTACCTCCTTCAATGTTCACATTTGACCAAGCTAAATCTTTTGTTTTCCTTCTCGTCTTTAAGATATTTTAATCAAGTGTTAACCATCACCATTTAATAGTAATACCACCCTGACTGTGCCCTTGTATCTTCTGTAAAACAATCTGTTGATTAAGGTCAATTACACTGTGTAAAAATAATATCTTATGGTGATTATTTAGACGACGAGTTGCCTTTGAAACCAGGCAAAGAAAGGGAAAAATAGCGTAACAATGGATGAATAATCTTGCCAAAGGAGAGAGGAGGTAAACTCATTACCAAAATGTCATCAAGTTGTTTTCATTTGTTGGGATATCCAAGACAAAAAAATAATGTAAGTTAACTAACATTAAACCTGTTGATGTTACTTTTTTTTCATCATTTGCTACTCTCGTTACTCACTTTCTTTCCCTGTTTTAGTACTCTTTACAGCTCTTAAATTGGTGTCTACTTTAGTTACTTTCTATGTGAAAACAAGGATTTAGGATTGCAGAGGAGACTAGAGGAAAATTAGATGGAATCATGTTAGGAAAAGAAACTTATCATTACGCCTTTTCACCATCATCGCCATCACCATCATCATCTTGTTGAACCTTTAAACAAGTCTTGGGACCTGGTAATCTATACCTGCGTTTGCCTTTTCGTGAGAAAAGAAGGAAAGCCAAAAGTGTCAAAAATCTAAATTGTTACTTGATCCAAGTCATCATTGTTATTGATATTGCTTTTTTTCATGCACAGAATATGGTTATTGAAATTTCGTGTAAAATTCTTGATTCTCGTTAATGAATAATCTTCTTTTTCTCTCAAGATGGTTGGATATACATTTATTATCACTTATTGATGGGTGTTCAAAATTTTTGTGGACAATTTTACTGATGATTGAAATCACCTTACCGTTACGTCTTTTTTCAAGATTCCCATTGATCAACTTCACATTGAAATTGAATTTTGAACATGTGTTGATCTAGCAAATTTATGGCAACTATAATCACTACTCTTCTGATTATTATAGCTGTTGCTACCTTTTTTATTACATAACATTTTTGTATCATTATGTAAAAATTGATAGCAATTTTAGTTTCACCTAGCTGTCTCTGCTCAACTTGATATTCATGGTTGAACCAGCAGAAAAGGTTAAATGCTTAACCATCTCCTAGTGTTCATTGTTTCTTCTGTTAGAGATTGTTAACTCAATTATTCCAGTTGAATGAATAGTGTTTGGATTATGCTTTGAAACTAAACAATTTGTTTCCAAATTTTCTTAGCAACAGTAAATTCAGTTGATGACCAGATATATCACTTACTCTGTGATTAAAATTGGAAATGGGTTAACAATAAAAGAGTTAGAGTTGGACTTTACCAGATTTTTAATTACGGCAACAATGTCTTCGTTTAATCATCTTTTTTCAAAGCTTCTTGTTTGAAGAGAAACAATTGAAATTTAAATTTGAATACTAAACGTAAACATTGAAAGTGAATTATGGCCTAAACACATGATTTTATTAAACAGATCAAACAATTGGACGAATTAAACATTTAGTTTGAAATGTGAAAGGTTTAAATTTACATATATAGTGTTTACAAAGTGCAAAATTAACTGTTTAAATTTGAAAACTCAAGGAAACTGAATATTTTTTGACAATAGAACCTTTTAAAACAAAGTTTTTTTGGTAAACATACAATAGGACCAGGGCTGATCGGCCTTAACCAGTGACATCAATTTAACGCCCTGGTAAACAATGGTTAAAAGACAGTGACAAAACAAGGTGAAAGACAATCAAATAAACATACGGATCATTTTAATTGGGTCAGCTGAAAAATTTAAGTTAATCAAATGGTGAACCTGATTTTGGTAATTAGCTTTCTCTCTCCTTTTTTCCCTCTTAAAGCTATTCAATGGAAACATTCATCTATTTACTCAACTTGTATTGGAATACTTTCCATGGTTTTTTAATTTAATATCGTTTACCTGGTTGTGACCTCAATCATGTTTGTCACATTTTTGTTTTAATTGGGATTCACAGTTAGTGACCAATGGTCGCAATACATCTATTGTCTGCTTAGTGGTTCCATTGATTATTATTGTAACACTATTTGATGAAAAGGAAAGGTTTACCCTTTGATTTATCAAGTCTCGGGTGGATCCTTACAGAGATACACTTTCACTCTGATAATTAATTAATTCAATTGTTTACTATCATTTCTTTCATCTAATTGTTTTCATTTTCATTTGATTTTCCCCTTATCAATAGATACAATAATGAAATGGTATTAAAGGCCTGAGATGTGTAATTAAAAGAAAGAGTAAAATAGGAAGATAAACAAAAGATTGACCGATACGTGGACAAATAATGAAAGCTATTATCAAATTGGTCAATGAAAAGCTTTTCGTATAACCAACAGGTTCATCAATTTGCAGAATCAGGGAAAAGGGTTTTCAATCACAGGACAAATCTCTAGCCTGAAATAACGGAAAAAAGCTGGAAGTATAACAAGCTGATTATGATCTACAGCTGATGTTCAACTCGTAATGCGGAAAGGATTACTATTATCTTTGAACATGATAATTGTATCATGATGGTTACTCGGTTTGGACAAGCTAACTGAAGCAAAAAATTATGTTTCTAACAGAATTGCCGGATGAAAGTAATGTTATCAAGTATGAAGCACTTGAAGCTTTTAATTTGGCGAAATGAAGAAAGTAAAACAACGCCAAATGGATGGGGATGAGAGGAGCCGTCAAAGGTACGTGATAACGATAAACTATGAACATTGCGTCTGTTTGTGGAACCCGGAACGCTCTAGAGAGATGATCACAACCTTCTAGTTATGATTGTCAAGACTGATTGGTGCACAATTGAGGAAATGATTTACCTTTGCGCTATATTTTTACACTGTAATGGTTCATTGGAAGCTCAATCTGAACATGGATCAAACTGAAACTGGAAAAATTTACAAATTCAGTTACAGGCAGAAATTAAGGAATCATTTGACTATTTCAATCTTGAACATATACAAACAATTTCAAGGGAAAATAATGATAGCTCATCTACTGTTATGGTGATAACATGGAATGATGGATGAAGATTAACTTGAAAATGGCAAAGAGAAAGGAGAAACATTTACCAATCTAATTGTTAATTCAAGTCACAATTATTGTCCTCCAATCATCTACAATTTGCAGTAAAAGTTATTCCTTTAACTATTGACTATTGCGTTTTTAAATAATTTACCAATTGTTTGGGAATCACTGTAAATCAAAGCATCTTTACGGGAAAATAATTATTCACTTTACTCAATAGTTTATTAACCATTCACGGTGTCACGAAAATCATAATCAATTGCTAAACATAATAATTTACAGGAACCCAAGACTAAGAAAATTAAACACTGTGGTGGGAACAATAAACCTTTTGACCCATGCAATATACAGTTGAAAATGACTAATTAACCTTTGCCATAGATAATTTGAGTGAAGCCTGTTGATCACTAGAGGATTTTAATTGTAGGTAAGACTCTTGGGGTTCACAAAACTTGTTATATTGCTGCTTCAAATCAATTTGAAACAAACGTTATTGATATAAATTGATTATCAACTTACCTTATGAAAATTAGAGTATAAGTTAACTTGAGTAATAATCCGAGCAACAGGGTAAAATCATTGGAAAGTAAATGTCACCAAAACATGATGTTTTTAATTTTTCATCTCACGGTGATGGCAATCAATGAAAGATGATTTTGGGTGACCAAATTAACAACAATTTGACAATGAGAAATCAAAATGGAATGAAGCAGCAAAATAAAAACACAAAAAGCAAAAAGTGTCAACGAAAAGGGCTAACAACTATTCACAGTGCGAAGCTGGGTAAGCCTGAAAAATTCACCGGCATTTGATAAACATGTACATTAATGATGATTGAAGATGAGATGATACACTGATTAAGACACAATTAAAGCAAGGTTGGGGAAAACTTGAAGAGACTTGATAGATGAAGTGTAAATTGAATTGTAAAAAAAGCGTGGACCAAAGTCTAATGTTACAGGTAAAGATTGTGAAGTTGAAATGCCACTGAATAGTTAAATTATACAACAAGAATCAAGGGAGCAGCGGTGAATTGGTTAACAATTTAGTGAATACGGGAGAGAAAGGCAAGAAGAGAGGTTAAAAAAGAGAGAGGTGAAGAGAGGGAAAAAAGGGAAGATAAAATGGCGAGGAAGAAGAAGCAGGATACGAAGAGATTACTAATGGTGCATTGAAAGGACAAGACAACAGCAACAACTTTCCCTCCATTTGTTACCTTCTTTGGGTAAGAAGTGAATTTAATACATTTATAATAACATTTTTTTCTCTATTTTTTATTCAATTCGTTATTTCTCCCTCCTTAATCTTCATCTTTTCATCATCAGCGTCATCCTAAGTTATCCGGTTTTCAGCTTGTTTTTGTTCCAGGACTTAATTGTCATAATTTATATCTCAGTTGATTTTCATGCAGAAACAAGTGAACCAGAGAAGTATCGAGACGCGTTATTTTTGGTTCCTACCTTTCATCTATTGATTTAATACATTCGCTTTATTGTGTTTGCATTCACCTTAATTTTGTTTACAATCTTCAACAATTTATTCAACATGTTATTCATTTTTTAGCTACTGTTGTTTGACTGTATCAACACGGCAAACATGTTCGCCTTCAATAGAAACACCATTTTAACCCTAAGGAATAACTACTATAAGAATCAAGAGTAATTTTTGTTTGACTTAACGACTCTCCAGTTTTAATTTGTTTTAAGTGTTAGGTTTACCAAATCAACTGGATCAACTTTTACAGAATTGGTGTGATTAAACCACTTAGGTGCAACGCTTAGATACAACATAATTAGATACCGAAATTTAGGTTTTGTATTTCGGTAAGAGTAAGGTTTTACGGACTAAGGAGGGGCAACATGGGACATTTAAATTAAGATCCAATCAGGTTAATCTTTAAAATTAAGTCTAATGGTTATAATGGTAATTGAACTAATTGTTAGTTACTAATCTTGTCTCAAATCCATGGACAGTCGAAGAGGAGCAGGGAACATTCTGATTAATCATTAATTTCATATCAAAAACAATTAAATTTGAATGTTCACCTGGTTGTGTACTAATTATCAATTTTACCATTGGTTAGCGAAAGTGTGTGATTTTTAAGTTCCGCCTTAGTCCGTAAAACCTTACTCTTACCTGTATTTCTTTTCAATTTTAAAAGGTTAGTATGAGGAGCATGTTGATCTATGGCATGGATCCCTTCAATGGACCATAAGATAACCTCTTTAATCTGACTCTGTGATGGAATCAAATTATGAAATTTTGTCTCTAAAAATTAATGAAGACCATACGAGTGGATCAGAGGATATGAGATGGATAATAAAGATGGTGAACAGTTCAGGCTGGTCATTTTTAATCAGGCAAAATTCAAAACATGGATTTAAAATGATACAAGACAACACTTTACATTAGAACAGATAAATAAATAAATTCAATAAATTAGACGCGTGGGCTCAGCCAAGCATCTTAGGGATGCCAGGGACCGGACATAGCCACTTAGCCCTTCTAGGCTCAGTGTAGAGTACTCATGATACTCACACCAAATAGTTACTTGTAACGACTAGCTTCGGTATCTAAACATAATAGCTAATTGACCCAGAGGTTGTGGGTTTTTATATTTGAGATAATTATTCATTGTACTGCAGAGTTCAAGCTAATAAAAGTACATGAAAGAAGCAACTAACAGTTAATTTTGGCTTTAGAACCTGTTAAGTGTTAAAGATTTCAATTTTCAGATAAAAATACTGTTTTCATGCTAATTTTCAGCTGAAAAGCTGTTTATTGTTTATAAATGCAGTGCATGTGGTTATTTGAGGCCAACGCTCAGACAATCTTGATTTAAAGTAGATTAAACGGATAATTGCAAGAAATAAATTGCAGTAAAAAACTAGCTAAATTGTGATAATAATACTGAGAAAAAAGAGGTTGAAATTGCAGAGTAAAAAATGACAATATTTGTGGTTTTGGTTCTTCAACCTTTTTCTCCTCACTTAATGGTACATTTTTTATCAACATGAATCGCCATAGACCTATGAGTTTCAACATGAAATTAAGTGTAACAAAAAGCAAGGAAAAAGTAAACTTGATGATGATGATGATAATGGTGATGGTGATAATGATGATTATATGATGATCGTTATATGGAGTGAAAAAAGAGTCAAAATGAAGAAGATCATTGCCCTAAAACAAATAAAATTTGTTTCGCTTTTGTATTTATCGTGAAAAGGGAATGATTAAGTTTAAAGTGGATATAGAATAGAGAATTGATCTACTAAATCAATAAGATTACCCTGAAGTGATTATGTGTTGAAAATAGTTGTTGATTGTTAATAACAATCAGTCAAGTATAACAAATAGATAAACTGTTAGGTGAGCTGCTAATTTTTACCATTGCTTTACAGATGAATGTTGGAACAGGTTATAAAACGTTTCCAATGATGGTGACAAAAATACATAAAAATATAATCAAATAAGTGAAGGTGATTATGATGATGATTACACTCATAATAATAACATGAAGACATTTCAGAAATGGTTCAACTAGAAAAAGAGAAACTTTTCATTTCACTTTTCTTCAGATTCCTTTTCTTACTCCATTGGAAATATATCATCGTTAATGAGCCAGATGAGAGACAGATTAGTATTATTATTATATTATCATTATTATATTATTATTATGACTGAAGGTGAAGGTGGATATTTAAGAGTGTTTTGTTAAAATGAAGATCAGCTGGAAATAATGATTAAAATAACAATAAGTTGACTTATTCTGAGGTTAAATATGTTGAAGAAAGTGAGATTTATTCAGATGTAATCTTTTCATGTGTATAATTTAGACTATTAAGCTTTTCATTTCAACACGAAATATCATTTTAAGATTTTTCATCTTCAAATGATAAATTATTTTTTTGACCAAACATCAACAACCTTTCTATGACAACATAATTTAACCAACATTTAGCCAACATCTTCATCAATGCTGTCAAATTGTCTTATTTTGTGTATCTAGATATCAAAGTCAGAGTTTTGAGTCCAACTTGAATTGCAAATATGACTATCGTGAGTTACTAAGTCTACTAATATTCAAAACAAAATTCACTATAAGTATTAATACAACCATGAAACTGTAAATGATGCTCTTCGCAATTACATTTGTATCATAATTTTTGCCTTTCGTGAGGAAAAATGTTTCACATCAACATCTATTGACTTTGAAAATAATGTAAGGCCCTTTTCGGTGTTGAATTTTGGTCCAAGATTAAGATTCAAGATTTTCCCGGCTACGGTGTTTCCACCTGAAAATAATGTTATTGTATTACAATTGTTCAGTTGAAAAAAGGTTCACCTCAGTTCAGTGCTGTACTCAACCGTGAATGCATCATAATCATCTTTCATGATGGTGATTACAATGATGATGATCACGAAGAGAGCCACTAAAGTTGTATTAGCTGTTTAAGTTGAATTTGCACAATTTATCTGCCTTTTGTGATAAGCCAATGAACAGATAATGCATCCATCGTATATTCATGGTTTAAGGTTAAAGTGTAAATGTGCAATGTAACAATCAAGTAATCTTCAATTGAACAGAAAAATGGTAATAACAATTTACAAAAGACAAATTGTCAACAATAATGGATGACGATGAAAAATCATTTAAACTGTAGTTTTAACTCTAACTGTATCTAAAACAGTAATCACTTTCAAAACACTAACAGCAATAGTTTTAAGCTGATTGTTGTCTCAGATAATTTAGATGATTAAACCGAGCAATATTTGAATCAGGTAATTACAATTGTTTTAAAATTGCTATGGTTTATTTACATTGTTATAAAGGTTGAAATGAAATTATTAAATTGAAATCATTTATTTTGAAACGAGTGAAAGTAGAAAGCTTTTGATGAATGCGTTCAGCTTGAGATGAGAAACAAAGTGATATTTACATGATCATTACATACTCTAAATTTGGGTTATAATGAAATTATTACAAATAGTTTACTTTTTTAATTGTTGAAATGTACTTCAAGGCCGTCAGAGTAATTTCATTGATTTCTTTTTGCACAAATAAATACAACTTCTAATAGTATATCAAGATATTTTCACCGGTGGTTAGATTGTAGCAATGTTATAGTACAGGTTAACTTAAAAGTTTAAACAATCTTTGTAATTGTTCCCAAAAAATGTGTCCATGATAGATTTGTCACTTTGCCTTTTGTTCCAATCAACATTAATATCGGCGGTCTGGATACTTAAAGTTATTATAACGCCTTTCACGTGTTACTGGACGTGGAGCTCGTCTTGGAAAGTCATTCACATTACGGTCATACTGCAAAGAAATTGAATTAAATTGAAAGTTAATCATGTTGAAATTTTGAAAGGGGATTGACCAAAGTGAGGGAATTATTGTTAAATTAGTAAGAAAATTACCTGTTGGTAGTTTTTGGAGGAATAAACTGGAGGTCTGGAATAATCATTTGAGTTGTCATTTCTGAAATTATCACGCGTTGACAATCGTCGTTCCCTTAAATTATCACTTCTTTCTATTAAAGGAAATAATAAAATTAAAATATAATATTGGCAAGAGAATTGAAATTAAACTTAAGGAATAAATTCTTACGATCGCGATAGTCTCTTTTCACCCTTCGAGCTGGAGGAAAAGGTTGTTCAGATGGACTTCGGCCAGATCTTTTACGCCTGAAATTTAAAAATATTTTAGGATCAGTGAGTAAAAACAATATTTGGGGTTAAACTCACTTATTAGAGTTTGAATGATTGTTATAATTGTCAACAGGAGGATGAGACCTCGATAATCTTCTAGGTTGTTCACTCCAGTTTGTCCTGTGATCAGATGAACGAGAATGGCTTGTTTTTGGTTTTGCAAGAGTTTGTTTTTTCATTCTCTTCAAAAATGTGATTAAATCTGATGTTTCATCTGGAGGAAACAAACGACAAAGCTCTTCACCAACACTAGGTTCAATTTCCTAAATATTAAACAAGATTCGAATAAGTAACAATTAAAGAAAATCTGATATATGGACTATTTACCTGACCATCTCTGGCTATTTTTACAGGTTTGTTCTCGTTTAATGGATTGAATAGGTGTAGAGTTTTGGAAAAGGTTAATTCTTTACGACAAATCCAATCTAAACTGAAAATACCTCCAAGAGCTTTGAGACTGAGACCAGGAGGTAAAACCCATTGAACAGGTTGGGCATTGTGACGAGACTCAGAAGCAAGTCGGGCAAAACCTTGAAATCTGCCCGATTCTTTGATGGAGAAAATGAGAATAACATTTCTAAATTCCTTAAAAGCTCGATTTAGCTTGTGTTCGTTTTGTGGTGGGGTGGACCAAACTCCTTTAGCTTTGGATAATACAACATTTTCATGATTATTGCTTTTCATTACAAAATAAACTGCATCTCTAAAAAAGTATTTTAATAATGAGTTATAATCCCTTGGATTGGTCACTCTTTTAGAAGATGTTGGACTTTTTTGTCTTTTTGGTCGATCTATAGATACAAAAAAAAAGATTAGAATCAAATTGAACAAAAGTAAAACAAAGCTATAACTAAGTACTTACGTCTTTTCGTTCCTTTTGCAGGACGATCTCTCGATCGATCACGTTTGTATTCTAAAAAACATTGTCGAACGTCATGATTAGGAGATTTACGGGTTGCTGTAAAACCAAGAAAAAGATTTAATTGAAAATCTTCATAATGTCCACAAAATTGAGCTTGAAATGAATAAATTTCTTACGGGATTTGGATGCTCTAGAAGATTTCGTTGAATGACTTGGACTACTGGATTGAACACTACTGTGTTCAGCACATGAGCAACTTTCTTCATCTGCAGATTCTTCAGCGGAACGTTCAGATTCACTTTTTTTATCACTATCTGTCACATTCTTAGAAGCTTCAGTATCACATTTAGGAGACTGTAATCGAAGAAAAAGGAAAAATATGAGTAAAAAGTATAAAAATGAGATGGCAAAGGCAAAAACAAGGTTTAGTCACCTGTCCATTTTTAGATTTCTTTTCATCTGGAATATTTTTATCTGATTTACGGGTTGATTCCTTCTCTTGGCTGGAATCTTTTTTACCTAATAATGAGCAAAAAAAAATGAAGGAAAAGATTTAAAAGACGATCTCATTAATAAAAAATCATGATAAACAAGTATACTTACTTGATTCATGTACATTGGAATTTGACACTTTACTATTATTTTTTGTGTCTTTTGATCGTTTGTCTTCTTCGCTTTTATGTGAATGATCTGATCGTGGACTTTCCTTATCGTTATGACCACTTTTGTGATGTTCATCTTTTGAATTTTTACTCTGATAAATTTGTTGATAAAAAACAAAAACACAATACATTAGATATTAAACAAGTTGATGAAAAAAAAGCCAAATCGTTCTCACCTCTACAGATTTATTTCGTGATTCAGTTGTTTCTTCGTTAGATTTTCTGGATGATGATGATGTTGGTGGTGGTGTCGTCACTGAAACTGTAGTTATATCCGAGTTGCACTGTACTGTAGATAGAATGCTTGATTTTTTGCCTAATAATCATTTTGTGAGGAGGGTTGTTGAAAAGGTGGACATAGAAAGGAAGACACACCGATGGTAGTTTGTTAGAGGTTAGCATGGTTAGCAAATATTAGCGTACACGTTAGAGTTAAATAAAAAAGCTTTTGTGAATAGTTACACAGAATAGTAATGAATCTAAAATTTGTCAAGCCAAATCTCTGCTTCGATTGGTATAAGTTTCAGAAAGATAAGAGATGTTAAGAGACCGCTGAGAGATTGCCTGTAACAAAAGACTGATCAGATGACATTAGGGTTTGATGGGATTTAACGCTTAACCAATGGATCTAAAACAGACTATTTAGCCTTTGAATATACTAATTGAAACTGAACAATATCTCAAGTTGAAAATTGGAGGTTGGGTTATGTTAGTAAAATGTTAATAGTGAATATCTCTAATCTTTCTGAAAATGTACTCAAACCAATGGTTGTTAGCTTAATTTCAAGTTAAATAGTGGAAAGAGATAAAGATGAAGATAAATTGACTCCTTACTTCCAGTTTTGCGTTCACCGCTATTCAATTCCGATGCTAAGTCATCATCCTCTGGTGTTCCTAATAGTTCTTCTAGGACATTTTTTTCTTCATCGAAGCCTGGGTAATACATAAGTCAAAACAATTAGTTACTCTAAGGGATAATCGAGGAGATAAAGATGAATCGGTAATAACGAGAGTTGAGAATCGATAAATAAAAAAAGATAAATGAAGAAACAAAAAATCAATAAAGAATATACAATGTTGATTTTGATGATTTAATTCCTTCGTGATTCATGGAAAATGTAAATGTTTAGATTTAATGGTTAAAAAATTATTAATGTTGCAAATTATCATCAACACAATTAAACATTGAACCTGATATGTCATTGGCCAGTTAATAAAAGTGAACCAAGAATATCCAATAACGTCGATGGACTTAATAAATTGGCAATAATTGGCGAAAAAAATGAAGCTATCAAGTCAAATGCGGCAATGGTGGTTAAATGGCAGAGAAATGACAATGCAAGATTATTTCAATGTTAGTAATCAACACTAATGTTATTAAGATTAAATCTTTTATCCTTGATAGTTGAATTCATTTCAAACTCTTTATAATTGGAGGTATAGATTCCACGAAAAGCAGCTGATAAAAGAATGAAGCAAAGGTAAACAAAAAAAAACAATGTGAGCAGATGTAAAACAAGTGAAAAAAATAGATTAATTACATGAAGCACTTAGAGTTGATCACAATAATTAAATAGATATGAAAGTAGACACTCGCTGTTACTCTTGTTACGATTGAAAATATCAAGACTGGCAAGAAGATTGTTTATTAAACAAAAAGATGAGCAGTAGATAGATATTAGAAAATTGCATCTGTAATGTCTTTTCTTTTGATTTGAAACTTCACTAAGGAAACAAATTAGAAAATTTTCTAATTCCATATAACGAGCTTCTTATTTTTTTCACAGGATGCAACAAGTTGTCCCTGAGGACTCCAAGAAGCTACACCAACAGTAGAATTATGTTGACTTTTGAGGACTCTATCCACTTTTGAGGTATTTACATTCCAAATGAAGATGGATCCTGATGCAGAGCCGGCGATTACATGATCATTATCCGGACTGATAGTAGCTTTAGTTAAATCAGTTCCTACTTTAAAACTGTCCGCACTAAAGGTTTTAACAACCTGATTCATACGAAGGTCCATTAATTTAAGGGTATCATCGCGAACACAAGCAAGCAAATACTGTCCACTTGATGAAAGATCAAGTGATGATATTCGAGAAGAAAGATAAATTTCATGAACACTACACTCAGTTCGCATATCCCAGAGGCGAATTTTCTTGTCAAAATGTCCACTAATCACAACTTCTTGGCCTTTACTAAGAACAAGATCGTTACAAGTTGATCCTGGGTAAAGAGTTTTAGTACAAGCATACTTGTCATAGTCCCAAACACGAATTGTCCTATCCTGACTTCCAGAGATACATCTATTGGCCACAACTGAAAACTTAACTGTTAACACTTTGTCCGCATGACCTGTCAAGGTCCGGCGAAGTTTTCCATCAAGGATGGACCAAATTCGACACGTAAAATCGTATGAAGAAGCTATAATTAAATCATTAGAACAATCGATGGAGGTTATACCTCCATTACAACCAACAAGAGTCTCTTTCATGTGTAACTGTGATGATGATACTTGCCACACTTTAACTTTACGATCGCTACCACCGGTAGCAACCAAATCACAAAAACGCCCTCCAGATCCTTCACTAGAGCACCATCTTAGTGCATACACATCTCCATCATGGGCATCAGTTGAACAAAGCATTCTATCAGGGAGAATGGCAATAACATGAGAAGGAACACTAGCCGTTTCTCCCTGATCAACAAGTATACCTTCCTCAACTTCAACCACTCGAGTAGCAGCAGCAACAGCTTCTAGCTCTTGGCGTTTTTTCTCTCTCAATAATCGCTCTTCTCTTGCATTAAGCTCATTCAATTTTTCTGCATCTGCAGCTTTCATTGCTTTCAACTGAATCAATAAGTGGTCAGCCTCATGAGTTTTAGCTGAAAGCTTTTTAGTCAGATCATCATACAAAACTCTGAGGATAGCATGTTCATCCCTTTCAAATTGTAGTTGTGTCTTAAGCTCGGCTAGTTGTTTCTCTAAGCGAGAAATTTCACCATGAGCGGCTGTCAGGTTAGCTTCGGCTTCTTTAAGACGAGCATATAATGAACTTCGCTCACTCGCAGAGGAGAGAGGCTCCGATGATGCATGGGTAAAATTACCCAAATCCGGGTTTGTTGCGTACAAAGCAAAAACTCGACAACAGAAGTTGATCAAATCTTCAAAAGGCTTTTCTTCTCTCAACTTGCGAGTATCTAATTGTTGCCTTATAGAGCTCCTCCAAGAGAAAGGCACAGTTAGCTCACCTTCAGCATTAATTTCCACTGGTTTTGTTTCCACGTTTGTCTCCATTTTCCTAGTTACTACACAATTTGTTTTCAACAGTTTTTGTCACTTAACTAATTAGAAGGTGGTTTATTACACAGATAGTATTAGTTGTATTTAATCAGTTAAATTATTCAAAATTTTGTTTATCATGAAAAAAGAAAACAATTGGCAGATTCATTGAATAGCAGGTATCAAAGAAAAGAGAAAAGCCAACAAGCGCCATCTCTAACAACTTACAGATACTTGTCAGAGGTTTTTTCAAATTTAGAATAGCAATATTCCAGCTTGTTGACTAATAATGTGTTTAACTTTGATTATGTTTCATTAATTTAGACACATTCATTAAAATTAATAACGAGTAGTTGATTCTCAAGAATTAGAATTGTATCAAATTGCAGATTATGGTTATCCTGATCATATAAAGTCACAAGACAAAGAAATCTAAATAGAAATAATTTCCATTGTTACCAATTGTTCAAGAAATAAATATTATCTTATGACCTGGAAGATAAATAAGGATTTTTGTGTTTTAACACACGATTTCTGCTCTTTTTGAGTAAAATGGGACCGGCTTTTTTTCCACCACATTTTCAAACAATTTATAAGATTATCCACCCCCCAAAATGTCCAAACTGTTGACCACTTTTACAGCATCTAACACATCCACTATTAATCGCCATCATATCCCAAAATTAGTCAACAATTCGGTAGGATTTGGGTGGTGGATAATCTTATGTAAAATTGTTTGAAAATTTGGTGGAACAGTCACTTCTAAGTGGTGGATGTGGTGGGAAAAGCTCGTTCCCTTTGTTTTTGTAACAGTATCCATGTATGAATTCATGCAATGCCGTTAAACAAAAAATCAAATTAAGTAAGATGAGCCTCAGTATTTCTTATTGGACTAGAAATTGAATGATTTGTTTGTTTAACCCGTTTGGTTAATTAAGACATAAGACAAAATCTTAATGACTTGTTAGCCTCTTTTTTGTCCCTTGCTTTTCGCTTCTTGTTTCATATCACATTTATAAATACCAAAGGATATTTACAAATGTAATAGGAGGCGAGATCGGCTAACTTTTGCTTTTTTCAGGTTTACTTTAACCGAGAACTTATTGTTGTGTAAGGCTCTTTTATCATACGATGATGACAAATGACGATTAAAACAGGAGCTGAAGACAAAAAGGAAGATAAGATCCGCAATATGGTCACAATCCTATGTCTTGCCAATGATTAGTGTCGAAAATGTACTCAAGCTCTTCATTTCTGTTCTTTTTCCATTCTTCTTTTTCTCTATGAATTTACTTATTCAGTTGAAATCTAATTTTCTTTAAATATTTCTATCAAATTCTAATTTATTTATTTTAATTGTTTGTTTCTACTATTGCCTGAAACTATTGCTATTTCTACTAGTAATCTATTTCTACTCACCATGTCAGTGTGTCTTCGGCCGCAATCTTACTCCAATGTTATCGTCGCCCATTGTGAGGATGGTTTGTGATGGAAAAGAGTTTATTTTCATGCGTCGCGACATTCTTCGCCCCACAACTCACCTCTAATCATGAGGGTGGG